TTCTGCTTCTACAGAAAAGCACATTTTTGTGCTTTCAGCTGTGTGATTCTGAAGTGGTTTTACCATTAATAGTCTTGCAAACTACTGTTAGTCATGCCACTTCTGTAATAACGCATATTTAGTAATATGTACCTCTGTTAGAAATGGCTTTGTGTTTTTCAAAAAACTTAATTCAGTGTCCCAAGATTTCCTTAAATGGGGGAGGGAGGGGAGTTTTATTGAGGAAAGACTGCATTCTTTTGTAACAAGGAATTCAAGTTTTAAATAACTAAATCATTGGATCATTGAGTCTCTTACATACTTGTTTGGGTTTCTTGCAATTGAAGCCAATTACAGTTTAATTCTTTTCCTGCTGCTGCTTGAATTATTGTCCTCTGATCTTTAGTCTAATGGGAGCAGCACAGCCTTTCTGAGCCCATCAGGAAGCAGCGATGCCCAGAGTCATTTGCACATCATCTCAGAAAGCTATGGCGGGAATACCAGTGAACAAATTCTCTCGAAACAAGCACACAATAATTTTGTGGGTGACCCTATTAAAAAAAGAAAAAATAATGTTGACCTCAAATTATATTTATTCTGAAATTTCTTGCACATTTTTGCTTTCCCCTATTCCTTTGTATTCCTGCTTGTAATTTTAAACTGTTAGAGGTATTTTTAAAGGACTGAGTACAAGTCCAATCCAGTCCCATCTAAATATGCACTACTCTGCTGTGGACAGAGACATATTTTGGACAAAAGCAGTACAACAAGACAACATAATAGGAGTCCGAGTTGTCAGAAGAGCACCAATAAGTCACTTTTTGTCCTAAATAATGGTAGGCAATGGAGTTACCAGCAGAACATAGGCAGTGCTTAGCTAGGAAAGGGTGTTGTACTTAGAAATAAATAGGGCTTAACACTTTTCAAACATGTTAATTGAAACATCCAGAGTTAACATTTTTCTAAAGTGTTCCTAAAGCAGCCTTTCAAAATATATTTCAAGAAAGAGAGAAACTCCTTTGGTTGTGAGTCTTTGTAATGTTGGCTATAGTGATAAACTCTAAACTTCCTTGTGCAGCTCTGAACATGCCTTCCATTTAAAAAATCAGATTTAAAATAGAATTATTTTTTTTCGTGTGGACAAATAAATCATGTTGATCTTGTTCTTTTAAAAGAGAATTATCTGTGGTAATGAAAGGCACAGATAAGAAAGAGATGTTCTGATTGAGCTTTACTGCAAGGCCACCAATGAAAAGCATGCATTCTAAGTACTTGTATAGAGCTTTTGTGGATATAAACATGGAAGTGGCCAGATCTGAATCTCAAAAATGACCTAGTGACTGTGATTTAAAAAAAATCTCTCCGCACTAATGAAAATCAGATCTCATTTTGGTGCTTAATGTCTTGAAGGTGTCTAAAGCTTTTCACATTTTCAATTTCATGCATAGCTCACAGCATCAGGACTAGCAAGAGAGTTGCTACTTGAATGAATGACTACATATTTGACTGATTTTGCAATGGTACACTTATATGTAGCTTTTCTAATACCATCTTCCTTTGAAAGGCATTTTATGAAATATTTTGAAGGACTGAACGGTTCTTTTATCACCAAATGCAGCAAAACAAAGAATGGGTAAAATATAGAAACTTAGTGGAAAGAGAATCAACATCTGTTGTACGCTACTTTGACACAAGAAATTTTGATCCCTAACTTACTGGAATGACAGACATGCAATTCATATGCACAAGTTCTACTGCTAATGAAACTCTATAAAAAAAACATCCAAACCACCAAGAACTGTTCAAAATTTGTTTTTAAATTTCTAAACTGATTCAATCCTGCTCAAAGCTATAAAAAAATTGCTATATGATATAAATATAGGTATTCTTTGGAGCGGAATTATGTGATTTGCCAGTTAAACCACGGTGGACCTGCAGCATTCAAAATCCCATGCAAATGATTTACTCATTTCAGCTTTCCTTTAATATTTTTTTGCACACTAAATGAGAAAAAAAATGTTATCATTAATTGCAGCATATACATTAATTTTCATTCTGTAGGGAATGAAGGCTGTTTATTTTAGCATCTGCTTGCACCTTGCGAGCTGCCCCTTTGACTTTTATTATGATAAAGACCTGGAAAAATAACCATTAGATTGTACCTTTAGGAAATCAGAAGATTTCTGTGAACTTGATTTTAAAAATACTTCCCTCATATTATGTGTTTATTTGAAATTGGTAAATTCTAGCAGATCTTTATTCCTTGTTGAATACACTTTTTCAATATTTTTTTTTCTTCTTGTAGATTTTATACGTAGCCAGTCTGGACTATTTGTAGGGAGAAGGAGGATTTGCAGTATTCACTGCTGGAATGTAGCAAGCAAATGCTTTCTCGTACTTGCATTTGCCTGACTTCCAGTTATAAGTGTAGTTTAGTATCTCTTACAGTAAGCTAAAGTCTGTCTTGGGCAGACTGACGGGCAGAAGTCACTGTGTGTGAGCAGACTGAGAGGCTGGCGTTGGCCTGAGCTCCAAATGGAGGTGTCGTTGCCTCACCTCCAGCAGTTGATCTGATCAGTTTGCTCCTCTCTCTTCTTGCCTGGAAAAACTACATACATGAACGTGTGGGAAAGCATCTATGGAAATGAATACCTTTCTTAAAGTTCTTTATTCCCCTCACCAATAGGCATTTACAAAAGATTTTAAGGTGCGTTTCTAAGGGTACTCTATCATCTTTTGTGCACAGATCTGACCCTTCCTTTGTAGAACTGCTCTACAGACAACAAAAGGGTGCTGCTGCATGCAGTTGCAGCCCTGTCTGTTTCCCAGTCTGACATAAGACCTGTCATTCTCTCCTCTCTTAATCTCTGCTCAGATGTTAGACTGGATGTGTTAAGGGGTGAGGGGGAGGCTTTGAATTAGAACAGAAAAATTAATTTTAGGCTTTGCTAAGCCACAGCATCTAATTCTAATCTGCTCAAAACAGCACTGCAAGGGCACTGGGGGCAGGAGTAGAGCAGTGATAGGTAGGCAGAACTTGTGGAAATGGCACCTGGTTTTGGGGGCCTTGAGTGCAAACTTGTGTCTCGCAGAACATATCTCTCTGTGTCCAGCAGCGCTACTGGGATAAGCATCCTGAAAACTTTCTCTCAGCTTTTCCTGTAGTCGTGTTGGTTGCTGGATTCCTAAAATCTGTGGAAATGGTAATGAGTCATCTTATTAGTAGAGTTATTAAGTAGAGAGGAACAAATCCCATGTTAGCAAAACTTCTCTTAAATTTGTGCAGCCTTCTGAATCCAGTTATTGCTGCCTCTTCAGTTAACTGAAAGCAGCGGTTTCGAGTACAGCTGAAAATGTTTCTCATCAACGAGAGCAGATCATCGTTGCAATGGTAAGACAACAATAAAAGGATTTTGCTGACGGCTCAAGTCCTTTGGCTGCCTATCACAGGGACACAAATGCTGGATCCTGCATGTGACACTGTACGGGCACCGGCTGTAACGCGGGGGGTAGCTGCCATGACGACTGCGCTGCTGGCCAGTGCCCTGTGCGGGTGTTCTTGCAGAGAGCGGAGGGTCATTGATATTCTGAGTGTTTCTCAGAATACTGCAGGCAGTAGGGACCCCTTCCTGCCAATGTTTACTGTTATCATAGTGGGTAAAATATGTAATCGGTGTTGACAGGTATCTGGGAAGGAAAAAAGCTAGTTTCCCTAAATGCAGTTTTTTGGTTTACCTCTTTAATTACATGGTTTTACCAAATGGTTCTACCTTTCTTAGCTTCTACACAGCTTTTATTCCCAGATTTCCTTTGGGTGTGCAGTGTTAAAAAGAATAGGGAAACAATTATACAGTAACATTTTAATCCATTTACATTTAAAAAATAGCTTGCTACCTGCAAACACTTTTTTTCCTTACAAGGGAGTTAGAATGAGTTCAGTAGAATTTCTTGTTGTGGCATTTTTGGCTTTAATTGTTTTTAGAGCAGACAGTTGCTCCTTCGCAAGATGACTTCTATTGACTTTTGAGGAGTGAGGTTTTTTCAAGGTCTTTGGTTTTATGTTTTTAAAGAATGTTTAAAACATTTTTCTCTCTGATATTGCCATCCTTCTTGAAATAAATTGTAACATCATTACTGGGACAATTAAGAATAGATACAGCTGCAAAGGGCATGGAAGAGACTCTATATTTCTTTTTTTCTTGAACATGGAATACCTTTTAATAAAAGGGGGAATTTTTTTTTTTTTAACAGGACATTGAAACATGGAAATTAAGTGCCTCAGACCATAAAAAAATAAATTTGTAGATGCAGTCATTTTAACTCAACAGAGCGGGGGGCCGCCCGGCTGTCTCCCCACAGGATACAGGGGGGTCTCTGCTCCGGCACACCTCCCCCCCACCTTTCTCCCTCTGTTCCTCCACTGACCTTGGTGTTCATGCAGCTGCAACAACTCCTCCTCACAAGTCCCACTGCCCGTCACCACGTCCCTTCTTAAATACATTATCGCAGAGGCACAGCCGATTGGCTCAATTTCCCAAACAGAAGTGGAGCTGGCTTGGAGCTGGGGGAGCTTCGAGAAGCTTCTCACAGGGGGCCGTCCCGATAGCCCCCTCCCCTGCCACCAAAATACTCCACCACTCACTCAACCCAGGACATTTTCCCGTAAGCAATTAATGTAAGAATACAAGAAGCTTTGATATTTGAGTGGTGTTTATAGCCGGTCTTATCAAAGTCATGAGCATGCATGTGTAGTTATTGGCAAAAATACCAGTGTTAAATGTAAGAGAAGGTGGTTTTGGAGGTAAGGGACAGTCATATTTTACATTCTTGACTCTGAGGTTTCCTACACTATTAGGAGAGCTGAAGTACTTGAGAACTGGAATGTTTCGGTCATTATAAAAGATCATGATATCACTGTGCAAAGGAAAAGACAAACTTATTAATTGTTGCTGACTAACTGAAGATTTAGTATTTGAGAGTACTGCATTTGTTCATTTTGCTTTGTGTATTTTGCTGTCAAGGTGACATGCTTGCAGGACTTCTTTGGAGATGATGATGTCTTCATTGCATGTGGGCCTGAGAAATACCGATATGCTCAGGATGACTTCGTGTTGGATCACAGCGGTAAGTCTGTACATCCTAAACCCACTGAAATAGTCAACCTCATTGAGAAATCTTCCTCCTAGGCCCCTCCACCCCCCTGTTCAATCTTCAAGAGTTGTGTGATTTAGTAAAATATACATGGGAATATATTTTCCAATGGGTTAAAAAGTTTTTCCAAACCATCATCTGGATTCAGTAAGTCTCTTAAAATGCGTTAACATGATCTATTTTCTTGGAAAACAGACACACACACACAATTTACATGAAAAACAGCATTGAATATTAAAAGGTTCAGTCATGGTTCTAATGGATCTAAAAATCTGTTTAAAATGTTCACTTTTGACATCTGTGACTATAAGATGATTTTCATATTGCTATCTTTATGAGATTTCTGAAAAATCACATATGTAACCACAGTCATTTCGGGTCTTTGAATTGTCCTGCTAGACAATTCACACATTCCAGTCTTGTCTGCCATAGACCAAGTGTTTTTTCTGTCTATATTGTAGGCAGATTCTACAGCTGTCACCCTGAATTTTTTTTTTTTTCTGAAAAAATTAATTTGTGGCAAAGTAAAACCTGCCCTGGCAAGACTCACCAGATTCTTTGAGGAGATCTTCAGGTTGTGAATAAGAGGGTTTTTTTTGCCTTGCTCGTGGGTAACTGAAAGCAAAAGCACCTCCTGTATTTTTACAAACACCATAATTGCTTTACAAAATCTTTTGTTACATCAAGAAGTATGGGTATATATCTAACCACTGGTCCGTACATTTGGATGGATGGATGATTCAGGGGGCTCCTATTCTGTTGTTATTGCCAGCATGCTACTTTTCCAGAACTGCCTGATTATGTTGATTCAGCTAGTGTGGAGGTAACAAGAAGGGTAGTTTTTTAACATAGTTTTAGACTAGCTAAGATATGATTTTATTCTTGTGCAGAATGGAAAAGCATGATTGTGTTAACTCACACTGCAAATCCCAGTCTGGACAAAATCAGATTTTAAGGCTGTAAATTTGCTTTTTCCCATTATACTGTGCACAGACTAATTTAACTAATATCTTTTCTGAGAACCCAATGATGGAGGGTTATTTTTCTCCCTTTGACTCTTCAGCTTTGGTGGTCCTTGATTCCTCTTGAAAGTCTTAATGGAGAAAAGCAAGTTAGGAACAAAGTGGAACATGACTTGACTGACAGGGCATGCAGCTCTACTTACTATTTTTGATAGTGATATGGCATCATAATGATGCCATTGACATTGTTGTGATGAATAACAGGGACAAAATTAGGAGGGAAATTTCTATGATTCCATTGGGAGTGATTTGCAGTGGATGCTAACTGTAGGAATTAAAATGTTTCCAAAATATCAATGCATGTATGCCTATTGATTCCTTTCCCATTTTAGGTTGTCCTTTATTTAATGACATATAGCTGATGGTAAATGGCAGTAATCTATTGTCTCAGCCTTTTGGAAACAATAGACATTTTTCACCTCTTTAAAAATTGGTCACCACATCAATTTCTTGCAAAAGAAGGTAAGTGGGGCTTGTTGTGCAGTTGCCCTGTATGAAGCTGCCATTGTAGAATGCAGGATTTACTGAATTATCAGAAGCACCTTAGCTGACTCTTTACCTTCAGCTCTGCATAGGTACAAACTTGAATTATAGTAATAATCCTGAGCTGGATTATTAAAGACATAAAGAAATATTACACGCAGAATGTTGCATACAGCATTTGAGTAGCTCAAATATGTTTGTATGGTATGTAGGTTAAAGTCCTGAGATGCTCCTATAAATGTTTCAGGCAGTTGGGCAAGCATGTTTATAAAATACTGATGTTTCTGGATAATAAACAGCAACAGTAGTGTTTGGAGGAAGTCTGTACATTGAACTGTTGTCAAAACTCTATCTGCTTGCTTTGTAGAATGCCGTGTTATGAAGTCTTCTTATTCCCGATCATCTGGCATGAGGCATACGGGGTCCAAAAGTCCAGGACCTTCACGTCGAAGCAAATCACCTGCTTCAGGTATTCCTTATAGAAAATAACTGAATACATAAAGTACATGTAAGTTAGAATTTGTTTAATGGGGTGAAAAACTGTTGGCTCTGTCTGAAATACAAGTGCCATGCTTTGTTTCCCGAGGGGAGAAAAATGGTTTTTTTGTTCATCTCATAAATTTAATAATATTTTTTAATAATAAAATTTGCATTTATTTTTGAATCCTGAGAAGAAATATGGTTTCTAGTTTTTAATTAACAGGCACAAAAAGCTTCAGTTTATGAACATTAGAATAATTTCTGCTAATTGTACACTTGAAATATGTTTTCAGCATGGCACTTGATTTTCTTGAAGACTATTAAGTATAGGATGGTTACGTGGTTAAATTCATGTTCATTGAACTAGAGCATACCCTTAAGTGTTTTGAATTTGAAAGGTTTTTCCTGTATAAGCCAAATATTGTTGGAAATACAGGATTTTGCTGGTTCAAGCAATTTTCGGAGATGTTCTGGAATGTTATTGCCCATTAATAGAGAAATTTTCTTTCTTCTTGTAATTTCAAAGAAGGGTTTACATTGTGTTTTTGCCAGCAGTTTGACGGAATGCCCTATGTTCCAACCATTGAGTCTTTTACACAAATAAACAGAAGGGAGAAACTTGTTTTTTTCCTTTTTTTACCTCTGCATTTATTTCCTAAATACAATAAAAATTAATTTTTTTCCCCTCAGACCTGGAGAAGTAGCCCTGAAAATAAACCAATGAATATGTAAATATTTGATGCTCTGTTTTGAATGTAACTGTACATGTAAGCTCCTTTGCGTGTATTCAAAACTACAACACGTTCCATATTCTCATTTCCATATCAATATTTGTTTTGCTTAATTGATGCTGGCTGAAGTAATTTTATGTCTTTGGGTTCTTTCAAAGTGGACTATTTATCACTTGTTTATAAAGGTTGAATATTTGACTGAAAAGCTTCAAAGAAGGATCACAATAACAACAAAGAAAAATGTAGCATGAAGGGCAGGTTTCACAACTGTTCTACAGTTTATGCAGTCCTGTTAACTCCAGTGAGATCACATGGGATATCTATCAAGAGTGAATTTTATGCTAAGTATTTAGAAAACAGTGCTGTCATTTCCTTGCTTATTTGTAGTTGGACTCCCCTTTGGTTAGATTAATTCGGAAAATTTATCCAAAGTGTCTGATATTCTTCTATTTACTTGCCATTTGTTCTCATGTAGTCTTTACTTATGCTTATTTACCCTTCTTCTTTTCATGCATGTTCAGAGCTGTTTAATAACTTCTTTCCTTAATGTCTTTCTCCTTTGTGTCAAATGTATGAGTACAGTAAAGAGGGGTGGCCACTACTCCAGTGCTTATTCTTCAGCAAAATCCCCAGGTGAGCCATTAATATTATGGCTGTATACTCACTAGTGTGTCTCCTCCCTCTCCATTTATCTATATTCTTTTTGCTGTATTTGTGAATATTTTTAAGCTTGAAACACGTGTTTTGCATTTGGTGAACCAGAGACATATAATGGGTGTAGGTTTTTTGTTGAATTAGATCGTTTGAGTGAAATAATATAAATGATGCTTTATAGTTGTTGGACATCTGCTAATGGTGATAAATTTGTAAATGTATAACTTGACTGCAGGTAGGTGAGCATTCTGAAGAGCAATATATTTGCATGTGTATTCTTAAGCATATTATAATAGAAAATTTCAGCTGGTGCAAAGATACAGGGTTGAGTTGCTGAAAAAAGTGGTGCAAAAACACGTGTCATATTCTTTAATTTTTATTTGCAGCTTCTTACCTTCCTTTGTTTTCTTGTGTTATTTCAGCCTAAGTTCTAAAACATGGAGAAACCTCTTTGAACCTTCAGTTCAAAGTGAAAGTATCTCTAAAACACGTAACGTGCATTTTGATTTGCACAGAAGTTGAGACTTTGGACCATACTAGAAGTTAACAATTTGAAAGGTATTCATAGGTTTTTCAGTTTTAAACATTCCAATATACTAGAGAATTCTAGCCTAATACATACTACTTAAAGAACAAAAGAGGAGATTTTTTTCTGTATATTTAGGCTGCTATACATGTTGAAAGAAACCTCAAAAGAACTTAGAAAATAGATTAAAAAGTTATATTTTACATATGCATGACATAATCAGCAGATCAATAGCTCGATTGATCAACAGATCAAAAATGAATACAAATTGCTTGTGTGTTTTTTTGAGTTAAAAAAGAAAAAGATACTGCTGTCTGAAATAGCTGTGTCATGGTTTAACCCCAGCCAGCAACTAAACACCACACAGCCCCGACCCCGCAGTGGGATGGGGGAAGTGAATTGGAAGGGTAAAAGTGAGAATAATTTAATAATTGAAATAAATTCTAATGGAAAGGAAAATAACAGAGAGAGAAAAATAAAACCCAAGAAGGACAAGTGATGCAAAGGAAAACAATTGCTCACCACAAACCGAACAATGCCCAGCCAGTCCCTGAGCACGGTCCTCCCACCAACCTTCCCCCTAATGTTATTGCTGAGCATGATGCCATATGATATGGAATATCCCCCTTTGGTCAGTTGGGGTCAGCTGTCCCAGCTCTGTCCCCTCCCAACTCCTTGTGCACCCCCAGCCTACTTGCCAGCAGGGCAGTGTGAGGAGCAGAAAAGGCCTTGACTCTGTAAGCACTGCTCAGCAATAACTAAAACATTCCTGTGTTATCAACACTGTTTCCAGCACAAATCCAAAACATAGCCCCATACTTGCTACTGTGAAGAAAATTAACTCTATCCCAGCCAAAACCAGCATTCTCTACCCCTATTATTCCATACCATTTATGTCATGCTCGGGTCTCACACTATCTAATACATTATCATTACCCAACCCCTCTCCCTTCCCATCCTTTGATATAATACACAGGTATCATTCACTTAGTCTGTGGACCACTCCTGTGAAATACCTGTTAAATGTCCACAAAATGTCCACCGAGTTCATTTAGTCCGTGACTTTGGACTCCATCTGTTATGGTGGTCACTCGGGACAGGAGAGCTGATGAGTTGCCTGGAGTTATTGGGCACCAAAGCCAGTTCAGGTCGTGTCACTGCTGCACTTGTGCTATTTTGTAAGATTTGTTCTCCATTGGTTCAGGGTGGTTCCTGATATGGTAATTCCTATAACATGCAACTCAAATCATGCATTACAACAACTTAAAGGTATATCCATTACTGTCTCCACCCCTGGTCCCTTTGGGACAGGTTATAGGGTTTAACATTGCAATGAACTCCTACCCTGGCTAGCAAGAAGGAGTTCCGGCTATAGTAATTCCCATAACATACAAATCACATAATGAATTATTGTTACCCAGGATTAAATTACCCTCAGGTACACATTGGACTCCCCCCTCCTTCTGCATTAGCCACCAAGTGCAGCCAGGTCCTTGAGCAAAAACAAACCCATGAATGGGTTTAGCCTTTCCTGAGGAAGGAATAACCTAGGTTATTTTTTCCAACCACCTCCTTATATATACTACAGGGACCTTATCTCCTTCCATAGTGAGCAGGGGTTTTGATTGGGCAGGGCCAGGACAACTGGCAGATCTTCTAGTGTTAACTAGCCAAGTGGCTTCTGCTAAATGTGTATCAGTTTTTGAATGTCACAGCACCCACTGCTCTCAGTTTAGCTATTAACAGTCCATTGTATCATTTAATTTCCCCAGAAGCTGGTGCATGGTAGGGGATATGATACACCCAGTCAGTGCCATGGTCCTTGGCCCAGGTGTTGAGGTGGTTTTTGGAAATTAGTACTGTTTGATTTATTCTTCCAGGGATGCCATGACACCATAAAACTTGCTTTTTAAGGTCTAAGATAGTATTCTGGGCAGTGACATGGGTCACAGGGCATGTTCCCAATCATCCAGTAGTTGCTTCCTCCATTGTAGGCATACGGTGCTTGCAATGGCATGTTCATGGTAGTATGATATAATCAATCTGCCAGGCTTCCCCATATTGATATTTCAGCCATTGTCCTCTATACTAAAAAGGCTTTAGATTCTTGGCTTGTTTGATTATGGAGCGTGTTTGATATTCATAGATGATCTCTGCAATGGCATCAATAGTCAAGTTTACCCATCCATCACAAGCTCATTTGATGATGCAACATAGCATCCCTTCCTAAATGGAATGCAACATAGCATCCCTTCTAAATGTCCTGATGTGTCATGAGTCCATCAAGCTATAGATAGCTCACCCTTATGTTCCCAGTCCAGATCCACTTCAATTCTAGCAGCCTGATCCACCTGATCATAGTTTCGATGTTAGTCAGTGACACAACTTGGGTATGTGAACATCTGTCTACGTAATGTGCTTTTACAACCTGGTTCTCTACCCGAGCAGCAATATCTTGCCATAATTCAGCAGCCCAGATGGGTTTACCTCTGCACTGCCAGTTGGTCTGTTTCCATTGCTGTAGCTACCCCCACAGAGCATTTGTCACCGTCCATGAGTCAGTATAAAGTTCTTGTTCAGCAACACCTAAAGCCAGCTGGATGGCTTTCACCTCTGCAAACTGACTCAAATCATCTTGTCCTTCAGCAGTTTCTACGATTTGTAGGACTCCACACAGTTGCTTTCCAGTTTTGATGTTTTCCCATAGTACAACAGGATCCATCTGTAAAAAGGGCATATTGCTTTTTATTTTCTGGTAATTCATTATACAGAGGGGCTTCTTCAGAATGAGTCACCTCCTCTGGCAACACTCTGAAGTTTTGGCCCTCTTCGAGGTCCATGATCACTTCCAGTATTATTGGGCCATTGAAGTTTCCCATCTGAGTGTGTTGTGTTGTTATCAATGCGACCCACTTACTCTATGTAGCATCACTTGCGTGATGTGTCGAGGGGACTCTCCCTTTGTACATTCAGCCAAGCACAGGCAATTGAGGTACCAACTACTTCTGAAGCCGTTCACATTCCTTCATATGCTGCTAATACCTCTTTTTCAGTTGGAGTTGACCTCGAGTCTCTGCAGGTGCTTTCTGCCAGAAGCTCCAGGTGGGGCCGTTATCCCTGGCTGAGGTGTAAAGCACATTTTTAACATCTTGTCCTGTCCAGACTGGCCCAAGTGCTACTGCATGAACTGTCTCCCATTTAATTTGTTCAAAGGCTTGCTGCTGCTTAAGGACCTGTTCAAAGTTGTTGTTCTTCTTCTGGGTCACTTGATAGAGAGGCCTTACAATCTAACTATAGCCTGGACTACGTATTCTCCAAAAGTCCACAGTACCTAAGAAATCTTGTGTTTCTTTTTTGTTAGTTGGTGGACACCTATCTGTTATTTTATTTATCAAATCCATTGGGATATGACAACACCTATCTTGCCATTTTATTCTTAAAAACTGGATTTCTTGTGCAAGTCTTTTGACCTCACTTTGTTTTATAGTAAAACCAGATTTTAAATGAATCTGGATTATTATTCTCTTTTTCTTCTAATTTTCCTGGATGGATGCTTTTTGGCTGTTGTTTTTCATTGCAGTTCCTGTATCTGAGCTTCTAGTCTCCAGGCAGGTTCACCATCCAACTTCCTTGTGTCCTCCCTCTGGTCATGGAGGAAGAACCACAGGGTTGCAAGTGGTATGTGCCACCAGTACCCTTTCCCTTGAAGAGAAAAGGGCTGACTCTTAATAGCTGAGGCCTTGGTTGGAGTGTGTGAGGAAGACCTATCTTTCTCAGCTTGCTTGGACATTGTTTGTGTCAATCTGTCCACAGCTGAGAAACAGGCCCACATGGAAGAAGCAAGATTATCTTTGTATTCTTGGAGCTGTGTCCTGGATTGAGTGAGTGGTGGAGTTTTTTGGTGGCAGGGGAGGGGGCTATAGGGGCGGCCCCCTGTGAGAAGTTTCTTGAAGCTCCCCCAGCTCCAAGTCAGCTCCACTTCTGTTTGGAAACCGAGCCAATCGGCTGCACCTCTGCGATAACGTATTTAAGAAGGGACATGGTGATGTGCAGTGGGACTTGTGAGGAGGAGTTGCTGCAGCTGCATGAACACCAAGGTCAGTGGAGGAACAGAGGAAGAAAGGAGGGGGGAGGTGTGCCGGAGCAGAGACCCTCCTGTATCCTGTGGTGAGACAGCAGGGTGGCCCCCCCGCCACCCATGGAGATCTACGGTGGAGCAGACACTGATTTATGGCCTGTGTTTTTCGCCTGGGTGATCGAGGTGCTGTGCCCGAAGAAGGCCAGGGTCTCATGGGAAAAGGCATCCCCGCTGCTGTAATTCAGCACTGGGAGGATTGCAGCATGCGGGGGAGTCCCACGCCGGAGCAGCTCGGGAAGGGCTGCAGCCGTGGGAGAGAATCCAGTCGGAGAAAGTTAGTGACCCACGACAAAGCAGTGTGGGGAACGCTGCGGCCCATGGGAGGGACTCATGTCAGAGAAAGTTTGTGGAGGAGTGGCTCCTGTGAGAGGGGGACCACGATGGAGCAGAGGGAAGAAGTTCCAGAATCTCCCCCCACTGAAGATGGAGAAAGTGGCAGCACTGACTGCACCCCCCATTCCCTGCCCCTGCGCCGCTGGGGGAGGAGGTATAGAGATCAGGAGCAGAGCTGAGCCCGGGAAGAAGGGAGGGGTGGGGGGAAGGTGTTCTCAAGATGTGGCAATGCTTCTCACTGTCCTACTCTATTATGTGTTGTTATTGTCTGTAATAAATGTATGGGGTTTTTTCTTCCCCTAACGAGTCTGCCTTTTGCTTGTGCCCATAAAGGGGGATTTTCTCCCCATCCCAGTCCTATCTCAAACTCCAAGCCTGGTTCTCTGTCCCTTCTTATTGCTGGAAGAGAAGGGAGAGAGATTGGCTGCGTGGTGGTTGGCTGCCGACCAGGCTCAAACGACAACAAGCTGTCTGGCCAGTTGGTGCCTCTGTGTCTGTCCAACTCACTGCCAGGGTGTGGGTTTATGACATCGGTGCATTTCATACAAACTTTTGCCACATGGACCACATGCACCAGGTTTCATCTGGATCTTCAGCTGCCTGAGCATCATCCAGGTTGTTGCAGATCACCTCCAACATGGCTAATGCCCTCAGAAACTGGATATCTCCCTCGATGTTGGTCCATTTTCTCCAGGAATTTGCAAGTTCTTCCTTGAAGGGATACATGTCTTTCACACTTGTCAGGAGTTGCCACTAAAGACTGAGAACTCTAGCCTTAATTCCAATCCATTTGTCAACATCCTTATCCTTAGCCAAGGCATCCTAGCTGCTGGGCTTCCTTACCCTCTAATTCCTGACTACTGGCCCCAATATCCTATCAGAGTAACCAGCTGAGAATTTGCTCACCTGGTTGATGGCTGAAATATTTTTGCATACCACATAGCTCACTTAGGGATAGGGATCAGATGGTTTCTGTCTCATGATTTCAGTCACTTCTTCCCCCTGTTCTTTTGACTGCTCTGCTGCAGAACAGGCTGCCTCTTCTGATTCTTTCTCCTGCTCCCTTGTAGGAGAAGCTTCTTCATCCCTTACTAAATGAGCTGACTTCTACTTCCATTGTTTCTTTTTAGTTATAGGTGTGACTGATATAGTGTCTGGTTTTGCCATAGTGTCTGTTGCTTTGTTATATCTCTCTTCTCCCTGAGGGTGCTGCATAATATCAAGCAGTGTTTAATAGATGCTGGCCAGGGCCCAGCACAGTGTGGTAAGTCGTGCCTCTTTGAAATAGTCATGACGTTATTTTTTTTTTTTTCCAAACATTCTATCACTTCATCAGGATCCTGTAGTTGTTTGGGAGGGACGTTCCAGACTGTTGGAGGTGAGAAGTTCTCTAGATACCTGCCCATATTCTGCCACATGCTATGCTACCCATTGACAATCCTCTCATTCCGAGTTGTATAAAAAGAATTTGTGAATAAACAATTTCTTTTTCCTTCTGTAGTAGTAGTTGGTCATTTGGAAGCACATTCTTCTACTGAAGTGTATCTCATTTTTGGTCATGAACTTTAGAGCTCAGTGTTTCTTCTAATGGCTAGAGCAAATTGTGTATGTGATAAGCAGAGAACAGCAAGATAACATTCACTAGCCCTTTCCATTGTCATATTTGTAGGTCTTTTATGAAACAAGGATGCATTGATATGCCAGGTTTCAAGAAAGTTAAAACAAAGTGATGAAGTCTGCAGGAGGGATGAATACTCCTAAATACTTTTATCTTCTTAAAAAAAACACTAAAATAATTCACCTGTTGTTCTTACAGGCAACTCCTCTTAAGGTTGAAACAAAAATATCCTAAATGTACTGCATACTTTTAGTAGAAAAAACTGAGCTCTTAGTACTATAACATATCTGGGAATGTAAATCCAAGTTATCAGACTTCAAGATAGACCTATTCTGTAGATAAGTGCTAATTAGTTATATCTTAACATCACACATCAGAGAGAGGAATTTTTGTGAAAAACAGAGATTTTTGGAAGTTGCAGGTGCAGTCAGCCTGGCCTACTGTCAGATGGACTGCCCAGTTTGTAAAAATAGTACTTGGAAGGCATCTTTAGCACTCAGAGAATGTTAGGGTACTAGGTTTATAGATACTTTTAAAATAAATCCAATAGTGCTGTTTAAGAAGTGATGCATAACCCATGACAGACCTATGAATGTGTGAAGGATATGTGCAGGTGTAACAGTTATTTGCTTTGAAGCTAAGTTTTTATTTGCCAGGGTTGTTTTTTTCTTTCTGAAAATATAATTCTTCACCATGAATTAGCTATGAAACCTTTCTAGATCTTAAATTTCTGTCTAGTATTTTCCTTTCTCAGGAAAAATGAGGTTCAGCTAGAGGGGAAATAACGTTGCATCATATAATGCCTGCATAGTGAAATTCATCAGTTTGTTTGGTTTTTTTTTTTGTTCAGAAAAATACAAGGACTGACCTAAGTTATATTCAAGTCACCAGAGTTGTAACATATGTTGTACCGCGCCTCTGGAAAACTGGACTTAAAATGAATGAACTCTTGAAGTCAAGAGGAAGGATATTGTATGTTTTCACAGACACTTGAACTTCTTGGAGGTTCAGAAATAACATACTAGCTTTTACGTTGTTGGGGTTATTTTCCCTTAAATCAATATTTTTCTGAACTACTGCTTAAGTTCTTTATCATCCAAACAGTTCATACTTCTTGTTTGTTTGTTTTTCATGGGAAAAGCAAACAAAACAACTTGTATTCTGTGAAACATGCTACCTAGGAAGTAATGCATTGATCCAAAAAGGAGAAATGGAGGGCCAGATGTCTTTTATGAAAACTTTCTTTCTCCTTATTTTATTCTGTGATATCACAATAAATGATATATTTTAAAAAGGCTATGGTTACTATTTGTCCAAAGCTCTTGCACTGGCAAAGGACAGAATAAGCCTTTTTAATCTCTAAAATGACAATGCAGTATTTGTGTGTTCTCTTGATCCCACATCCAGCCACATGAGTTTTGCGGGCACAGTTGTGTGGCATGCAAGCATACAATTTATTCCTAAATGCTGAGCAGTCTGTTTTGGTCTTTCTTTGCAGACTTGAGTGATACTTTGTCAAAGAGGTATGTTATGTTCAAAAGCAAATTAGGATTTTTGACTTTTTTTTTTTTTTTCATTTGTTGCTTTGGCCAGTTAATGGAACCCCAAGCAGTCAATTATCCACCCCAAAATCTACAAAGTCCTCCAGTTCTTCACCAACAAGCCCAGGCAGCTTTCGTGGACTTAAGGTAAGCTCAAGAACCATGAAAACCCCTAAATTTCATTATTCATTGAATGATATCTTACAGTGGTGCTGAAGAAGAGAAAAATAAAAATAAATTAAAACAAAAAAGTGGTAATTCTATAATTTATAGTCATGATTTTTTAGTTGAAGTGGAGATCTGAAGTCAGATTTTTGTATTTTGTCTTTGTTTGGAAGAATGGAACTCTCAGTTTAGGAAAGACAGAAGGTGACGGTGGCTTGAAGACGCCAATTTGCCTTCCAAATTTTCCATTGTTTTGTGGACTGCAGAAACCCTGCAAGTAATTTATATTCCCTCAGCCTGTATAAATGTAGTGTACTCTCTTCATGCCTTATAGTCTCGTAACATTGCTCAGAATTTCATCTGAAGCATCCTTCTTGATCCGTGGCACACAATTTCACCCCTTAATGCGGTCTCCTGCCTGAAAGTGTGTGAGGTGTTCCTTTGGGAGCAGTCTGATGTCTGGCAGATTTTTCTCTGTGTTGCACCAAGAGAATTCTCTTTCTCTCCCACTTAAAAATTGGTAGCATTTACAGTTCTTAGAGTCTGCTCTGTGCCTTTCACATGGTAAAATAAAAGGAACAGTCTGGAGCACAGTTGAGCATCTTACTGCTACGTTTGTGCAGCTGTCCTTTCAAGGAGAATTTTCTTATGAAATCATCAATTTCAGCCTTTCTGAAAGCACACTGGATGGTTCGCACTGATTATTCTGATGAAGTAATAGCTCCCATTGCTGAACACAACACTTACGAAGAGGCTGCATAATTTTGTGGAAAACTGTTTTCTGAATTAAGAGACTGGCTAAAGGACGTGCTCTGAATAATATTTAGATTTAGGTTTTGACATGCTAATTGTTACCAAGTCTTTGTTTTGGAGGGAGTATGGCACTGGTTTCTGCCAGGTTTCTGTGATAATTCTGAGAAAAGATTTTGATTTATTTGTTTAATTCTAGTATATTTTTAGTTGTTTGGTTCATTGAGGCAATTTAGTGTTGACCTCTGCCTTTATGTTGTTGAGCTGTACCATTCCATAGCCTCTCTTTGTCCAAAGGAGCATAGATTGGCCTTTCCCCTAGAAAGAATTTTCAAGAGCAGTAGTAGTTCTGACACTGAAAATTAGAACTATGTGTCTTAAAATTTGTCTGGGCAGCTCTGCTATAGAACTTACAGTTGAGGACACAAAAGTCATTGGACTCGAGGCTCTCAGCTGATCTGTACTATATTTAACAAATGCTCTTTTGTCTGTCTTTAATGAATTTTTAGTTTAGAAACTGGATAAATTGGTTCATTTTTTCCCCACACTGTCCTGTCTGCTTTTAGCTGATTAAAGCTCCATTAAGATAGAGATAATTCTGGTAGTAACAAGCAATTCTCAGTGAAGTGGACATGCCTTCTTTTTTCCTTCACTATCTATTTCACTGAAGTAGGCTGTTGTACTTTTTCATTTTGGAATTTAATGGATGCTGGATACTAATGGGTTTTCATGTCAAATAATTTATCCCTCTATGTCCAAAGAGAACAGCAAAAGCAAATTAATCATCTCAGACCTGATGTGTTACTGAAGTGTAGAGAGAACCCCTTGTTCTATCCCCTTAGGATGCATCTGTTCAGGAAGAGGATCCCAGCTGTGCTTCTAAGACTAAAGATAGGGAAAGTTATCTGGTGAATCTCAGGATAAATTCCAGAAGGATCGAGTGCACATGCAGTGATACTTATTTCTTGATTATGTTGTAGTAGTAATGACCGTTTGGTGAAGTATCAACATAAAACTGGTAATAGGGAGACGTGGTTTTATGCAAAACCAGATTCTTTTAAGAAACCCATTATTTTTGTAGGATTGATCTTGGCCAGTTTGATGAGGAAAACAAAGTGAAATCAGGGACCGGTTTTATTTTGAGATTACTGCTTTTCTCTATTGTTAAATAATTCCTTGTTGCTAAGACTGCATTGCTGCAAAGACAAGTAGTCCGTCTTCCTGCATTTGTATAAAGAAGGTGCCATGCCAACAGCTGAATGGAAATGTAGATAAAAATACCATGGCAGACAGTGAAAGAATAAAGTATATTTCTGAGTTTTCCGTCTTTGAAAATGCAATATTTTGCTGGATTTGTTTTGTAGAAATTACATATATTTACTTCTGTAGAGCATGAAACAGCAACACTTAATAATGGTTTTGTATGAGATTGGGGCATCAGGAAAAGGGAACAAATCAGGGTTGACGTTTCTATGTCCTTTAGAGATCAGACCATTGGAGCAGCTTCACGTGGACTGTACTATAAAAACTGTGTTGCTTGGAAAACCAGAGCAAAATAAAATATTTGACTATAGATTAGAAGCTGGCTAAGCTTTTTGAAGATGATGATCAACATAGGGCTTAAGTGATAATGCTAGTCATCAAGGCAGGAAACTTGCGAAATATACTGACTGCAACAGCAATTTTTTCCCAGTCTCAGATAGTGAGACTTACATCATATTCTCCAAACACCACTTTTCCTTCAAAGTGAGGTCTCTTCAGTCCCCAAAGATTCCTTCTTCTTTACAACACTTTATAAGCAGAAGTTGTATGCTCAGGCACAGAAAACTCCTTGCAGGAAACACTCCTCATGAACAGCTTATCTTTAAAGAGAAGGGCTTTTCTTCTGTCCTTTTTAGTTTTTCCAGCTGGAGTGCCCTAGTGCTATTAATTGTTCAGTGCATACAGTAAGCCAGTTTGCTGTCCAACATCCCAATCTATAAGAAGTGTTTCAAGAAGATTTTACTGGAGTGTGAGATTATATTGAAGTAAGGAATTTATGCCATGACTTAATGATAGAAAACACTACAGAATTTTCCAACCCCAAATAAATGCCTTTATTCCAACAGGTGACAAATACGGATACCATGCACCCAGTTGCATGCTCCTATGTATTCTTATTAAAGTTGTTTATTTTTAATGTCACAATTTTAGCCTGTAACTAAGCATTTCACTTTTTAAAGGGTTTGTTGAAAGGTAAAGATTTAGATATAAAAGTTAACAAGTACAGACGTGAAGTAAATGACTACTCTGTACAATATCCTTTTTTGAGTAAATGTGCTGGTTTTTATTTTTCTGTTAACTTTTCCACAGAGACTAAAACTAGTGCATGGATTAATAAATGATGGTAATAGTGCATTAGGTAGCACAGGACAACTGACTGACCGGAGTCCTTCTGCTGTTCTGTAGGCTTCTGACAGTTGAAAGTTTTAACCCTTTGGTTCTAAGTGTGCATTTATCAATACCCAAATATGCAATGCTGTTACAGGTACTTTGACTCTTAGCTCTTCCAAATACATTTGTTATTATGCACAATTTGTACCATAACAATCATCCAGAGACTAGATTAAATACGAGATTTAATACAGAAAAAATAAAATAAAATAAAGAGGCTTTACAGTTGAGGCTTTCTTAGAATCCCAGTTATGCTAAATATCATTATGTTTGAATTTATCTCAGTATTACTTTTTTGGTTGGTTGACCAAATGACCAAAGTGAAAGGGCATTAAAACGTGATCCAACAAATAACTTAAGTAATTGCTTAACTTTAAGCTATTGAGTACTTTTACTTCAATGAGGATGTTAATGTACTTAGTTAAATATGTGCTTAAGTGATTCGAAGGATTAGTGCCTATCTTCATCAAGGCTTTAATCTCTTCAGTTTTGAATGCCTGTGCTTCTGGTAGCAGTTAGATGTTAAGAATATTTACTTGCAATTATCCAACCTAGTGACACAGGTGCCATAGCAGTTCTTAGAGGAATTCTGTAACTGCTGCCTTTGTTGAATTTACAATTCAGCATCTTTCTTGCTCATGCAGTAGATAAAGAGAGTCAGCTGATTTTTGCTGGTAGGGAAACTGAGGTACTGCACCTAGTGTCAAATCGATTCGCCATTGTCATCAGTTAGCCAAATGCTTTACATAATGTGATGCAACTCTAAATCTCTTCAGAAAATGAGTAAGTCTGTATATGGTTCTTCAGTGTTTCCAGAGCAGTGCAACAAAATACATGACATTATATATATGCCATACCATGTATGCTTAAATTAATGGTAGCAAAATCACTACATTCTAATTGCCTATTGTATTGTTACAAGTAGCATCTCAGTATAGTTGGGTAACTAACAGTGTTTTAAATATTGCTTTAAAAAGATGAAGTTTCTGTCTTACAGTTTATGTTACTATTAAGCATTATGATAATAAATACAACATCTCACTGGAAACACTGATTATGTAAATAACATTTCATTTATGTTTGGAATATCTTTTAGCCCTTTCTTACCTCAGCCTTTAGGATGAACTACAGTGACGCTATAAAAGTGTCCTCAGATTTCAGAGAATACTTCTTCAAACAGTTAATTCACAATTTCACTAAAATAGTCAGTTTTACAGTTAGGTTCATCACCAATTCAAATGTTTTCATAAAGACAGAGAAGGCTTCTTTGAGAATATCAAGGAGTTTTTCTGAAGGTATGAGAGTTCTCATTCTCTTCTTAGCCTTCAGGTGAAAGACTACCACAGCAATGCCAGATCCAAACTCAAGGAAAAGTTAACAATATTAGACATACTTTTTCTAAGTTTGGGGCACTTTGAGGATATTACAGGATGAAAATAGTAACAGTACTGTTTGTGTAAGGTTCCCATATTTCTGTCTGAAATTTTCCAGACACAGGGGTATGGGTGTGCATACATATGTGTACCAGAGTCTCTTCATCACATTATGAATGTGCTGGAGGGCAAGGGCAATACATTCAGTGCATCTTAGACATACGGTGAAGATGTTGAGCAACCACAGGAGGTCTGACTGAAGTCAAAGAAGCACTTGCACATATGTGTACAGGACGATGTACACAGGCCCTTTGTATGCCTAGCAACCTGATGGCAAATGTCCTTCATTTCTATCCAGAGAGGCAAGTAGGACAGACACAGGAAACCTTTACATGGGTGCTCTAGAAGGCACCATCCCATGTAGCTGCCAAGAAGTTGTGTGTTTCCTTCAGTATGAACAGAAGCCATAAACACTTCCACAAACATTTGTGTCATGGACAGTTAATCTAATTCTGAGTGCAAAGTTTTGTCAACTAAGGTACCATTCCACTTCAAAAGAATATGGGTTTACATCTGTGGATCCTTCCTCACACTCAAGACAAAACATAAATTCCCATAGATGTATAGTTATCTGGGATAACTTTCTTATGTCCCTGCACATTTCTATTTTAAATATAAGCACTGTTTACGTTTTTTCAGGTCTATAGTAGCATTTTGACTCAAAAGATTTATTAAAAATATTTGCTACTGGACCACTAGATGTAGCTTGATTAAAATGACTGTCAAGCTGCTTCTCTGTCATTCACGAATCACTGACTTACTTATGCTCTGATCCAGATTTTAGGGGAATCTCGGGCCAGTCCCTCCCTGCTACTTATACATCGCCTTGTATTTTCATACCCATTTCAGTTCTTGGACTCTGTGATGGTTTAAAGCCTTTTATGGTTTTTGTTTGATTCTTTTTTTTTTTTTGTGCTTTCGATTTCTTATCATTAACTTAAAAGTAGAAAATCTGATACACATGGTATCTGGCAAGATGCAGCTGTCTGGCACATTATACATTGGATACTTCAGATAGATAGTAGAAAAAAAAAATGAATCCTACAGTGCAAAGTATAAAATAGAGTTTTTAATGGATTGGATATTAGTAGGAGTGAAAGGAAGAACACTAAATACCTGTTCCTTATTTATTATGTCAAGGTGTAATAAGCATGTTGTGTACTAAAGTAGGTGTGTTAAGCTTATAGATATGACAGATATAATGCGAGTGTTTCTCACAAAACCAGGTGTCATGTTGATAAACATGGTGACTTAAGTCACAGTTAATCTGTATAAAATAATACAAAATATAGAGAAATGTGTTCACATATTTTTGTGAAGATGGAGAAATGGTTATTCCACAGAAAATAATTCAGCATGTGAAGAAAACAAAACAATTGGGCAGATTTTTTTTCAGCTCAGTACTTTTTATAACTTTTTACAGCATCTTTAATCTATAAAATGATATGTAACTAGTTTTGAAAACTGTGTGTTCTCCAAGATATTCTCAGTATCTCTAACTACTATGTTGTATAGTGCATTTGGCTCTGGATGTGTTGTTGAAACACAGATTATCTGTGAGAAGACAACTTGAGGGAAGTAAAAGCAATAATTGTTGTATTCTGTATTGCATAATGTTTAAATGCAACAGGAGTGACTATCGGTGTAAGATCTTGACCAATAGCACCCACATTCTGAGGAGATTGTTTATTCAGAGGGCTTAGGTAGCCATTGCTGCTCTAAATTACTCTGTCAGCTTTTAAAAAAAAAAAAAATCAAATTCTGCCACAGGTCTGAGTTTTCTAGGACTTACAAATGTTTGCAAGTGGATGGATTTAAGACCTGTGCACTCTGAATTTATCATGTGTAAGGGGAACAGTACTGGAAGACAGCAGTAGAGCTGTGTGGACCAGAATACAGGAGGAGGAGTTGTTGCAAAACCTGATCTGTGGTGTGATTGTAGATGCCATCCATTTTCACTAGTGTAGTAGCAAAGCTACTTTTCTCTTCTCCTTGCTACGTCAGGAATGGCTAGTGAACCAGTCAAGATGACTTGCACATCCAAAATCTTTACTTAACTGTCAGAATACTTGCAGCTGTTGGGATACCAAAATATTCTAAATATTACATGTTAAATGATTAGAAAATTAATAATAAAAATCAGTTTATTCCATGTCACTTCCTGTCAATTCCTACCTCCTCCCCACATATTCTGGCTAGTCAGGCACCTCACAGACATCGTAATAGTTTGTTTCTGTTGTGCTCTCAGTAAGGAAAGGCTTAGACTGATGTTGCTGCTAAGGAACTGATACACAGACCTACTGCACCCAAATTACAGGCAATCTCTGGTGTAGAGTGAGTTCAGCCTCATGGCTAGAGCCGTGAGGCAAATTGGTGTCAGAGCTAAAGTTAAACCTGCCATTTCAGATTCTAATCTATCACCTTAGTCACAACAGCAGCATTAGATTTTTTCCCTTTTTCTATTCCTTGTAGTGTTTTTTTTCCTGTTGCTGTTTGCTTCCTTGCAAATACTGTGGTAAGAAGGAATGCGCCCAGTCATGCTCTGACCTGATTACAAGGATGAAGGCAGTTGGAAATGTGGGCTAGATATTCCCATGTATTGTCACTCACTGAAAACCTAAAATAGATTACTAATATTTTTGGCTGACGGCTAATACTTTACAGTGATCTGTTATCTCCACTTCATTCTTGAAGAAAATATGACTGGTTAAGAGACTGACTCATGATTTTGCACAGATGTCATTTAACCCAAATGTCCTTGTTCCTGATCCTTCTTAAATAAACATAACTCAGAAAGCAGCATTAACCATAGACTGGTTTTAAGTTATTAGCAGGAAGCAGAATAGTAGCTGATGGGTTGCTGTTTGATGCTACTTCTATGCCAAATGCTAGTAAGCATCATTGTTCTAGAGGCTCTGCAAAATTAAGTTGTACAGCTTCTAGTTACTGTACCTTTAGCTGATTTGGCAGCTCAGCTGCCACTAGAAACTTAAGCATTCATTAGCATTTCATGAGCCTTTAGACAATATCCCTCTCTGTCAGTTCGGTTCTTTCACTGACAATAGTGTTAATGATTTAAAATATTCAGCAGTGTAACCAGACAATGTCAGCTAAAACAGAAAATGCTGCATGTGCGTTCCTGGTGTCATGCAAAGCCATTGCAACAGACACTGAGCTTAAGGCAGAGAAGCATTTTAATCCTTTATGTGGTGAGTGGGAGAACTACTATAATAGCCCATGAAGAAAACAAGATATGGAACTTCACAGAACAGCAAGAAATATTACGTAGAGGAGGGGGAGGATCTAAAATATATTTGCATTTCATAGAGCATCACTATACTTAACTGTAATGGAGAGGTTATAAAACAGTGGTGCATAGAACACATCCAGTACATTTTACTAATTACGGCATTCATTCCTATGCCTTTACCCCTTTTTAAAATACAAATTGTTGTGTATGTCCCTGGGCAGTATGACAGGATGACCAATTAGAAGATTCAGAGTGAGTACCAATTAAGTTGTTAGTGCAACAAAAGTAGTTTTCTTCAGCCTTCATCCTTCAAAATCATTCAGATATTTGTTTTTTACACAGTTTCATAGTTACTAAAACTGAATCTCTGTCTGTATACCTATCAGACATCCAACTTTAAATGCTTGTAAATGTCATAAATCTTCACATCCATAATAACCTAAAATATAGACTATCAATATAGACTATAGATTATCACGAAAATCTGTCTACCATAGATGTACCCGGCTACCCATGCCAAAATTATCTTCTTGAAATGAAAACTAGTAGGGCCATGAAAGCATTTCTACATTACCTTCCTAGAATGCTACAGTGCTAATCTAAAGAGAGCATATATTGCTAGAGTTCAGTTAGGGAAACCTCAGACAGTGCCAGCTGCGAAGAGATGTGCTACACTACAGCATGAGCCCACATGCTTGCTGCCCTGGCCACTGGTAGTTGTCTAGAGATGGCTGTTTCTGGCTTACATAAAAATGTACACAGAGTGTATTGTAATTATCTTGTGTAGAATGACGAGGGAACATTGCCTTCACACAAACTGGCTCTGTAGTGTTTAGATGGAACTTGATGCAGCTGGAGAGAATTTTCTTTGCTGTTTACTGAAACCTGTTCAACTACTTATCTGTATAGGAATATCAGGGCTGAATCCTAAATTGGTGCATGTGACAATGATGTATTGTAATGATGATGAACTGTGAGAAGGCAAGAATAAAAAGAAGATGGGAGTAGAAAAGCAAACTGACTCCGTGTAGGTAGTTTTAGGTTGTTTTTTTTAACTTCACTGTTTTTTTTTGTCTCGCTCCTTCTTGTGATTACCTTGCCATCAGAAATAATAAGTTCTTATGTGCTTCCATAGATCTCTCCACATGGTGAATCTTCTTCCAATGTGAATGGTGTACCGGAATCACTCCATTGCCAGAGTCCCGAAGGTAGGACACCAATAATTGCTAGCAATACCTGCAAAAATTTTGTTGTAGGTGATGGTTGGTTTACCACTTTCAGATGGTTTCTCATGACTCCAAATAATTTTTTGTTCAGACAACCTTATCTTGGAAAAATTACCACATTTTCTACATCAAGGCAGTAAATCTAGGAAATAAACTTTGTTCTTTTTTTGTCAAGTCGTAGCATATTAGTGGACCCTGCTCTTCAATAGTCACTATTAGAAATTTGAGTGATTTTGAACATGATGTCCAGAGTATAGCCAGAAATGTGTTTGTGGCTGGGTTGAAAGTGGAGCCCTCCTCAAAACAGCACAGTGTGCTTTCAGGTAGAACCACTAGCCCATCAACTGACCTTAGCTAAACTTAACATTTCATTCCTCATCTCTCTAAAGCAATGTTACTTTAAAATTTCATTTTAGAGCAATTTTTTAAATTTAAAAATACTGAAATAAGCAGCTATCAAACTTACTTGCAATTTGGAAGTTTCAGCAGCAGCTAAGGGAACTTGGAGGGATTCAGCAGATAAAACTTTTGGTTCTTTACATGCACTGTAGATGAATCTTATTTGCATTTTTGCTTTCAGTATGCAAAAATACTGTTCAAACAAAGTATTTTGGGTTCAGAAAATATTTAGACTGACTGCATTCATTACTTTCAGAATGTGTCCACACAAAAACATAGTAATGTTTGATTTGTGTGTTAAAATGTCAAACAACTCTGATTAGTCTTACCTTGTTCTTTCTTATGTTTGAGATAAAAACAAGGGAACGAGCTGTGAAGAAAACAGCTTACTTTTAAGTTTTGTTTTGCATTTGTGACTGTTCTGTATCTGTGGAACCCATTGGGGATATATTCCATCCTGCTGACACTTCTCTTCAGCTTGCATTATTGACCTTGCTTTTTTGCAGGTGTGAATGGAAACAAGTGCTCAGGGTCATCTACCATTCTTGAGAAGTATAAAGTGGGGAAGGTGATTGGTGATGGCAATTTTGCTGTTGTAAAGGAGTGTGTAGAACGGTGAGTAAAGAAACTGTTCAGTACTGCTGTTTATTTTTCTGGATAAAGTCCTGTGCGTTAGCATAATTTCATAGACAATTTGATGATACAAAAGCAAAGAGCAGTTGCAAAGATATGCGTACACTTCAGGAGAACTAGGCATAGCAAAACACACAGACCTTCCTATGTATTATTCCAGCAAAGGGATGTGAGAGCAGCAGAGGAACATGGCTTTTTGTCCCCAGAACTAAAGGAGGTATCACATTCTAATGGAGGCTCTTAAGGAAACCCCGCAGATCTTCAAGAAATCCCCTCACACAACAGACTGTTGTGGATGGCAGGAAATTGTATGTGGCATCTAAACTGTCTTTGAGAGACTGCCCCTTCTGCCTCAGCAATTCTGCTGCTATAGTGTCCCTACTGCTTGCTGCTTAAGTGATTTTTCACAGCTTTCAGTATACTGTGGGCAAAGTATTCTTGAAGGCATGCAGTTGGTGGCTATTACCCTGTGCTACTGACTGTGCCCTTGTGCTTGCTTCTGTGTGGTAGTGCAGTGAGTTGCCAGAGACTTTTCAAACCACAACCCTCCAGTATACCAGACCCTGAGATATTCTTGCCTGATTTCCCATGGGGTAGACAGGATACTTTTACAGACCTGTTCTGTGTTACTGCTCTTCCTCTGCAAGCTTTGTGTCACACTTTGCTGCTAGTGCAAACATAACAGATGATTTGACTGTCACTTTCTCAGTGTATTTTTTAGAACCACCTTCTGCTGTCTTCATCAATCTGAGCGTTATGTCAGCTTCTTAAATATTATGAGGAATCTCCAACTTGTACACAAATACTGGGCAAATTCAGCAAGTATCTATAAAAATCATAAAAGTCACAGAAACAGTTTCTTTTATTTGATCCTCATCTGCTGGTTCTATTTAAATCAAAAGAAATATAATTATGAATGGAAACATCTCATTCCAGTCTTAGCAGATCATAGATGCATAGATAGGTACTTTTGCTGAGGCATCCAAATGAGCCAAAAGGGTTAGGTACCGAGACTGAACCTGGGGGCCCCTCTGCTGAAACACAGGTGAATGAATCTTACAGTCCATCATTTTCTTCAGCCATTATTGCTTTTTCTCAAGAGAACTGTTTCTTCATACTGTATCCGGAATATTTCTCTCCATTACTGAGAGTAATATTAGCATGTGGTGTGTAACGCCCTTCTGGTTTATAGCAGCAAATGACAATTGTTATTTTTAATACTTTTTTGAGAAAGTGATGTACAAACATGCAAGGTTTATAGAGTAAGCAATAAAGACTGAGTTGGCAGGTTCTAGAGATACTAGCCAAGTACAATGCTGATGTGGCTAAATGTGAGCTGAATATGCTACAATTACTGCTCAGAAAAGTCCCAGTTGCATGTACAGTTTTAAGATAATGCTTCTTATCAGTGTTAACATCTAGACTCCAAGGTCTTGTTATTTTTTTTTCTTTTTGGATGGTTTCTACCAACAAGCTCTGGCTCCTGACAAACATTGCCACATCAGTGTGTAATCATGTCCCTACTGCTTTAAACACCACAGGTCTGTTACAAAAACTGTGAGAAGGCAATATAGCCAGCTGAGTTGCAACTCAATTTCTGTCCATTTCATCTTGCGAGAGGCTTGAGTGAAACAGAATAGAGTATGATAGAATTAGAATTAGAATTAGAATTTAGAATAGAATAGAATAGAATAGGAATAGAATAGAATAGAATAGAATAGAATAGAATAGAATAGAATAGAATAGAATAGAATAGAATAGAATAGAATAGAATAGAATAGAATAGAATAGAATAGAATAGAATAGAATAATTTCAGTTGGAAGGGACCTACAACATTCATCTAGTCTAACTGCCTGACCACTCAAGGCTGACCAAAAGTTAAAGTATCTTATTAAGGGCAATGTCCAAATGCCTCTTGAACACTGACAGGCTTGGGCCATTGACCACCTCTCTCGAAGCCTGGTCCAGTGTTTGATCACCCTCTTGGTAAAGAAATGCTTCCTAAAGTCTGACCCTGCCTAGCACAGCTGTGAACCATTCCCACACGTCCTATCACTGGATCCCAGGTAGGAGAGCTCAGCACCTCCTTCTCCACGTCCCCTCCTCAGGGAGCTGCAGAGAGCAATGGGGTCTCCTCTCAGCCTCCTTTTCTCCAAATTAGACGAGCCCAAAGTCCTCAGCTGCTCCTCACAGGACATTCCTTTCAGCCCTTTCACCAGCTTTGTTGCCCTCCTCTGGACACGTGCAAGGACCTTCACATCCTTCTTAAATTGTGGGGCCCAGAACTGTACATGGTACTCGAGGTGAGGATGCACCAAGGCTGAATACAGAGCGGGATAATCACCGCTTTTGCCCAGCTGGTCACGCTGTGTTTGATGCCCCCCAGGATGGGGTTTGCCCTCTGGGCTGCCAGGGCTCACTGCTGACTCGTACTGAGCCTGCTGCCACCAGCACTCCCAGATCCCTTTCTGCAGGGCTGCTCTCCAGCCACTTCTCTCCCAATTTATACTTGTACCTGGCGTTACTCCATTCTGGGTGCAAAATCCAGCATTTTGACTTGTTAAGTTTCATCCCATTAATCATAGTCCAATGCTCCAGTCTCTCTAGATCCCTCTGCAAGGCTTCTTGTCCCTCAAGAGAGTGAACAGCACCTCCCAGTTTGGTATCATCGGCAAACTTGCTAATGGTGCCTTTAACTCTTGCATCCAGATCCCTGATAAATACATTGAACAGGACTGGCCCTAGAACTGAGCCCTGAGGAACACCACTGGTGACCGGTCACCAGCCAGATGTGGCCCCATTCACCGCAGCCTTTTGAGCTCAGCCCTTCAGCCAGTTCTTCACCCAGTGCACTGTGAACTTGCTCATCCCACAGCTGGACAACTTGTCTGGAAGGATGTTGTTAGAGACAGTATCGCAAGCCTTACTAAAATCCAGAAAAACTACATCCACTTCATCTACTGCCTTCCCTTTGTCCGCTAGGCAGGTGCCCTTATTATAGAAGGATATCAGATTAGTTAATTGGGACTTTCCCTTTGTGACCCCATGTTCACTGTGCCTGATAATTGCATTATTCTTTAAATGCCTTTCAATACTACTCAGTATAATCTTCTCCATAATTTTTCCAAGAACGGAGGTTAGACTCACAGGTCTGTAGTTCCCTGGGTCTTCCCTCACACCCTTTTCATAAACTGGAATAACATTGACTAGCTTCCAGTCAGCAGGGACCTCCCACCACCTTTGGCAGGTGATTGAGAGGGCTTGTGCCATAACATCTGCTAGCTCTTTCAGTACTCTGGGGTGAATTTCATCAGGCCCCAGGGACTTGTGAACATTCAGCTGATACAGCTGATCCCTTACAATTTCAATGTCCACAAATGGAAAGTCACTGTTCCCGTACTCATAGTTCTGTGACTCAGGAGACTGGCCAGCCCAAGGTCTATCAATATTATGAAAGACTGAGGTAAAAAATACATTGAATGCCTCAGCTTTTTCTTCATTAGTCAGATGACCACGTTCAACAAGTATCTGTCCAATGGTTTCTCTAAACCTTCTCTGGATATTAACATATTTTAAAAAGCCCTTCTCGTTACGTGAAACAACACTGGCCAGTTTCAACTCTAATTGAGCTTTGGCTTTTCATGTCTTCTCCCTGCATATATGAACCACAGCTCTGTAGTCCTCCTGCAAAGATTGACCTTGCTTCCAGAGATCATACCATTTCTTTTTCCTCTTGAGCTCCACAAGGAGTTCCCTGTTCAGCCACACTGGTCTTCTGTCCTACTCGCTTGACTTACGGCCTGCTCCTGTGCTTCTAAAAGGTGGTTCTTAAATATTGACCAGCAATCATGGACTCTTAAGCCCTCAAAAGCAGATTCCCAGGGTACTCTGCCAAATAGCTTCCTGAATAGCTTAAAATTTGCTTTCTTGAAACCTAGCAGAGCAATTCTGCTGTCCTTTGTTACACCAAAAATTTTAAATTCAACCATTTTGTGATCACTGTGGCCAAGACAGATATCTACCATCACATCCCTCATGAGTCCTTCTCTATTCACACATAGCGAGTCTAGGAGGATCAGAGTACCTGTGACAAGAAGTTATCACTTCAAGAATTTACAAGACCTGCTCGTCACAGCAGGTATGATGCACAGTATGATATTTCCAGCTGAAATCTCCCATAAGGATAAGGGCTACCGATCCAGAAATTTCTCCCAATTGTCTGTAGAATAACTCATTAGTGCTTATATCCTGGCTGGGTGATTGGTAGTAGACACCCACTACAACATCTCCTTTGTTTTCCATCCCCCTAATCCTCACCCAGAGGTTCTCAACCACATCATCACTAACTGTAAGGGCTGTACAATCAAACTGTTCCCTCACGTATCATGTGACACCTCCACCTCACCTGTTCTGCCTATCCCTCCTGAACAGCCTGTAGCCCTCCATCCCAGCACTCCAATTGTAGAACTCATTCCACCAAGTCTCACTAATATTGTAGCTCTGAGAGCTGACCAACGCTACCAGTTCATCCTGTTTGTTTCTCATACTGCGTGCATTGGTGTACAATGATTTCACATGCTCTCCTGAGCCCTCTGTGCTCCCAGGAGCGCTGTAAATGTTCCCACAAGCATTGCCATCCTCAGGCAATGCCATGCCAACCTTTGGCTTACCTACTGCAAGCCTGTTGGATTCTAGTTTAAAGCTCTCTTGATCAGCCCCGGCAGCTTACACCCGAAGATGTGTTTTCCCCATCAGGACAGGTGGGTCCTGTCAGGCCTCAGCACACCTTGCCTTTCGAAGGCTCTTCCATGGTTTACAAACCCCAAGTTTTGGCACAGGCACCAAATGAATGTTGCTTCACAGTGTTTTCCCATGCATCCTGAAACTTTGTTAGCTATAGAGTGAACAGCACTCATGACAGATAACGGGTTAAAAGCGTAAGATAACATAATTTATTATTTTCAGGAATATCAGCTGTGCATTTTGGAAATCACTTGAGTTCCACTGAAAATGGGACAAGGAGCTGCTAAGTCACTTGTGTTTCAAAACTTCATCTGTGCTTTTTGGAATGAGGTGACTAGACTAGAAAAACAACGTTCCAATTAGTAAAAAAAAAAAAAACCAAAAACAAAAACCTAAAAATAAGCTTTAAAATGTAGTTTTATATGTGATCCAATCTTTATATTTAGTGAAGCATTATTAAATGAATTTTACATAAAGTAAATACACAACAATAGTTGCTAATAATAATGAGAGAGGCAATGCCAACTATAAATGCTTGTCTTTTAATTACTACTAATTACTGTACTTCATTTCTACTACTGTTGTGTTTAGAAGCCTTAGTTGTGGAGCCAGGATCCTATTATACCAGCTGTTTTACAAAAAGAGTAAGACAGTCTCTTTTGTAAAGGGTGCCTATATGTCTGTATATATAGACACACAAGTCAACAGATGGCCACTGACAGCTAGACAGAAGACTACCAGAAACCTGTCAGACAATACTGGTGTATGATAGGCAGTGGGAGTAGAACACAAATTATGTGGATGATATCCAGGGTTTTTTCTTAGGTGCTATAGCAAAGGACATTTGCAAGAGAGATTTGAAGCTGGTTGATGAATTGGCTCTGTGAATATTAACTCCTCTTTCTACACAGCATAAGTGCCAAAGGTTTACTAAGTGGGTTTTGCTGATCAGTTGTTCGCAGGCTTTCAGATAATGTACTTAATGTAGCATAATGCATAAATTGTGATTCTGAATTATGCACTGTATTCATAGTAGATTTTACATCAGGTACATAATATAAGAGGATGACATTTCTCAGATACCATTTAGATAACACTCCTATTGAAAGACCAGATCAGGTTGTAACTATGACAACCTTGCAGATACAGCTACACTTTCAGAGGAGACATTCTTTACTGCATTTTTTCAATAATGGATAAATCGAATGTGAGACATTAATTCAGTTCCTTTTTTTGTAAGGTGGTAGTTTTGACTAGTTGTATCTAATGCCAAGAGTATAGTGAAAATTAACCTCGAAGTTTAAAAACATGACTGACTTTTGCTTTTCTAACTGCCTTTAGTATTTTTGCCATATATACTAAGGGTGTTCTGATGCACACTGGAGTCTGTAGGTACTGACACAACACAAAGTAGTAGCAACAGAGTCTTACGGAATTTTCTTGTGATTTAAAATAAATCATTAATAATGTCTTCTTTGTTTGGGGGAAAAAAAAAAAAGATAATTCATCTGTGTTGCTTTTTTCTCTTGCTTTCTCCCCTTCTGGAGAAATGGAGCAGATTTTTACTGCTTAAAGGGATGCAAGACAAACAAGAGCTCCTTTCTGTGAGAGTATTTACTGAAAACAGTAATCCTTTTTACTTTGTCTATAACCACTCTCTTGATAAGTCATGGGACTCTTATAACTCCTATAGAATTCCATAAAATACTTAAAAAAATGAAGAATGAAATACAAATGGACAAAATTAGTGCCTAATAAATTCTGTGGGATTTTAGACTAGTGTTTTAGCTCTGCTGAATCCTTTTGCAATTTTTCCACTAGGGTATCGACCTTTCTTCTGCTCACTTACATATGAATGTGTGTGATCTTATCTTTAAAGCCTACCAGTTGAACAAAGCTAAGTGGAAGGCTCAAGACAAATTTTGCAGGTTGCATTAAAGGAGTGACAGAGAGTTGTGCCAGGTCACAGAAGAATGAATTGCAGCTGGAGCCTGGCATTAATACACAAAGTGAGCTAGGTTGTGGTAGTCAGGGAAACAGCAGGCACAAATGCTGCTGAGAAAACAGAAACCAAAAATCAAGTCCATTCTGTGAATTTTCTGTCGGCAACCTCTGTGGGTCAAGGCATTCTGTTACAATAACGTATATTCTTACAGATAATGCCACAATTTGTTGACCAGTTTCTAATTAATGGTTCTCATATTTTTCTTGCTAGATCCACAGGAAAGGAGTTTGCACTGAAGATCATAGACAAGGCTAAATGCTGTGGAAAGGTAGTGTACAACAATTTGCACATATAAGAAAAATAGCAGAAACAGCACTAGCAGCTGCTCATTAGTCATAAATAGTGGGTGTGTTTGGGTTTTCTGACTATTTTCAGAATATCTAGTTAACAGGATGATAAAGTATCCAAGAAGCAAATAATAAAAATAGTGAGTGTTAGTCTACTAGCTAATAAAGTAAAAAACAAACAGAGACTAACAAAGAAAATACTAATATGTGTCCAAAATACATTAGAGATATATTGATATATAAACTATGAGAGAGGAAATTTGCAATTATATGTGTATTTACATAATTCCCATCCCTCTCTGCCTCTTATTTTTATCTTTTTGGCTGTACATGCCCCTTTTAAATGCAGAACGTGGATTTGGAAAGAAATTTTTGCAAACATTTCTTTCTGTTTATGTTCACCATCCTGTATAACAAAGGTCTAACAAAAGAAACAAAAGAGTTCCTTAAACTTTCTTTTCAATTCAAGCTCAAAAAAAAGTAAGTCCAAAATTATCTCTCCAGCAGAATAGCATGTTACATAATTGAAGCAAATATCTGTGTCAGACCTCTTCTTCACCTTCCTCCCAAGTACAGCAATTTTATAAAAGGAAGGAAAAGACCTCAACCTACCACCAAGAATATAGACTAAGTGTTGGAACAGATAACATCAGATAAAATACTTCTATTTTTACTGCTTTGCAATACCTTAAAAACAAAGTGCTCTTGAGGAACTTATGAATCAAATGGATCATAGTGTAGCAATAGCTGAAAGAACACTGAGGGCACAGTATTAATTAGCAGTCAAATTCTGGATTAAAGTCTCTTTGAGAGGTAGAAAATACGCCATTCTCTCAAAGATGACTGAAAAGATGCACTTTCTAATGCAAAAACCTTATTATTTTATGTAAATGACTGTACTGAAATGATTCTGGAGGTAAATTTGCAACCAAGTCAGGGTTTTAATTCAGTGGTTCCCTTTTTGTCAGTTACATAGAGTAACTGCTCTGAAGTGTAATTCAGAGCTCCAAATGCTGAATGTGACCTTGTGGGAAGATGTAGCAAGTCTGTATGACATCCTGGGTATGGCAAGGAGCTGTATATTGCTGTGCACTAATGCATCACCTGCTGTGATGAGTTGATTTAAGTAGAGGTCCTCAATCAGAAACATTTTATCTATGCAGATTTTAAATTGTGTATTAGGTGCTAGGAGATGAGTGTTCCTGCCTCTCCATCACTTTATCTCATATTCTCTAGGTTTATTTAAGGGAGAATTTAGAAAGGAATCTTAAACATGTATACCACAAGAAAAAGTGCTAAATTGCCTTTTTTGTGATTGAAATGTTGCAATTTCTTCAGCTGTGGGAAGGGCGACCCAGTGTGTTTCACTATGAAAGAAAACTTACGTGTACAGCTTGCAACTTCAGATATTTTTTATTACTTGTCTGAGTCAGCTGCTTAGGTATCATAAATTGGAATGGTCTAGAGATAGACAGTCCATTTTATACAGCAGAGTTTAGACATATTTTCTATTTATCATTCTCACTGCTTTAAAACAAATTTAAAAAATCAACTCCATCGATGCATACTTGTTTGTCTTGAAAGGACCTGTGTCTGTATAACTACATACAGATGTATGTGTATGTAGAAGCAGAGGACTATTGTTAGGAAGATGTTTGTACCTGTTGGGGCAGTGTCCAGAAAGAATTCCAACAAAGAAAATAATTAAATTTTGCTACAGCTTACTCCATCCTCGCACTGTTTCACATGCCAACATAAGCCCTGCTGTAAAAACACCCATCTGGCCCAAATATGCATGACTTGTATGTTGCTCACTGCTGTTTAGCATTTTATCTTGGATATCCTAAATCTTGAATCCAGTTGACTAATGTATTTTCCAGAAGCTGCTTAAATGTTAATTATACGATAATTTATCTGTAAATGAATCCTATTAATGTAGACTGAAATCTAAATTGTAGTATCCAGGATAATGTTATAACAAATTAAAGACTTACTGTTTTTTTACATGACAAAATATAGCAAAAGCAGTGAGATGGTTGAAAATAACTGACTACATATTAGTCAGCATTTTGAGGACAGGTATTAAAACAGTAGCTCAAGAACATTATGAAGCCTTTTTCAAAAAATAATATTCTTTATTTTAAATAAGCATTAGTTATGTCTGAGCTTTATTTAAAGTAATTAACAATTTTGTCAAGTGTAACAAAGAAAGCACAGGTAAAGTCATAATGGATGTAATAAATGTAATATGTTATCTGTTCTTTAGGTATATATATAGTATGTAAAGTAATATGTTACCTGCTCTTCAGGTATATATATATAGCTATAATAAGATTCTAGTTTTTGCTTGGACTCTTAATGCTAGTTTTGGATTTGCAGGCTTCCATCCATAAGGCTTAGTATGCTGTGGCTGTTCACTTTTGTCTGTTGATGAGATTCAGCATTGTGTTTAACAAAATTGCTTCATGTTTGTTTGTTTTTTTTTTTTTTCTCCAGAGCACTTTGCTTGGAGCAGACATATGTTTGTTCAGAATGACAATTGATTCTCTTTCAAGCTGAATTTCAAAGGTGTGACTGTTTAACCCATATATGCCGCACCATACTCTCACTAAGTGAGATGCACACATGGCATGTGGTTTCTGAGTTACATAGCCACATAAAAAGCTTTGGTAAAACCTCAGTGCATCTGTAAATAGCCCTGGAAATAGAAGGTGAAGTAGTGTAAGGTCTTCAATCACTGCTTATGAACAGTGAATCACATCTACTTCTAGTGCTCTGCTCACAAATGCATGAAGTGCATGCTACAAATCAGTGCATTAAACATGAGTAAGTTCCAAGTCCAGTGACAAGATTTGTTACCTGACAAAGTGTAAGGAAACTGGTGTTTTATTCAAGCATTTTTACTTACTTTGCAGGGAACCTAAATACAATATCTGTATTCCAGTATTTTTAAAGGAAAATTCAAACCATTCTTCACATGAAAGGGGCATGTAATTTTCTTCACTCTCCAGTGTTAACTAAATGCTAAGATGTTCTAGAAAACAAAACATTCTGAAACTAATTTGCTCTTGAAACCCCTTACTTCCTCAGAAGTACAGGGAAGGGGAAATTAAACTCAATCTGTGTGCTGTTATGCTGTTGGAGCTACAGTGACTTAATGGAGCTACTACATATTTTGCAGACTATACATACAAAATGAACTAAAATCCATAACCAAAACAGTTATATTTTTCCTGTATATAATCCACAACTTCTTAAAAAAAATAAAATCCTTGAAAATATATCCTAGGTAATCTGTCCTTGAGTAACCTATGCTAAGTGAGAGGTGAAGGCTGAAGAGGATCAAGACCTCACTATTGATGGGGGGATGGCAGGTTACAATGATCTTGGGAACAGGGTGGTTCTGAACTGAATTTCACCTCATAATATACACATAAGAATATAATCTGCACTTCCTGAATTGCTGTCACGTTCTCGTTTTTTTTTTAAAGGACATCCCATTGGTTATGTGTGTGAAATACGGTATTTTAAATTAAATTGGGTCAATGATGAAGTACAGTTGGGCTAAAATACAAGTTAAAATCCAGCATCTGACAATAAACCTCAGTTGTATAAATTAAACAGCAAAGAGGGTGCTCACTGATCCAAGTGATCACTGGTCAGCTGGTCAAAGGAAAAGTGAATTGGTGATTTCATGTCTATTCAGATCAACTTCCATCCACTTTCCTGAACAGGAGCACCTGATTGAAAATGAAGTGTCTATTCTGCGTCAAGTGAAGCATCCAAATATCATTATGCTTATAGAGGAAATGGACACCCCAACAGAACTCTATCTGGTGATGGAGCTGGTCAAGGTAAGGCTAAGGCGGCTTTTTATTTTTGTCTTTAATCCTCTGTGTTGGTGTGAAATCTGAGAATTATCTAGGAACATTAAGATCTTGGGAGACATAATCAGATAAGATTTCAGTGGCAATCTGCATTTTTAATCATGCAAATATTCTTGTCAATCAGTTACATTAATGGAATGTATGTCTCTTCAGTTGTAATTAGACTATTTACACATATCTGAGGTAATTTTGCAATGTGCGCAGTCTAGAGAGAAGTGGATAGTGGTTTTCATATCATGGTTACAATATGCAGGGGTAATGTTTCACTAATATATTTTTTAAATAATTTTATTAATTATGAAATTAAGAAACAAACAATCTTTAATGAATTTATCTTAGTAGACAATAGATACAATGAATAAACTCAACTAATTATGGTCCAGAAAAATGGAAACTCAAAAAAATCTCACCTGTTTTGTTTATATCAAACATTTACTTACCTTATTTCCCATTCGTCAGAAAATAGATGGTGCTTTCATACATGTACAGAGAAAACAAAAAAATCTTCATTGTGCTGTCACCTTGTGAACCAAATACCCAAGTTGCGTCAACTTTTGGTCATGCACTCTCTTGCCTGTATCCTGTACATACGCAGCAACACTGCATGTCAGATACAAATAATATGTATCATCATCATCACTTTTTATTTCTGTCTGAAACAACATTAGATTTTAAAAGTCCTCTCTAGAATGGTTGCCAGCCTCAGAAATCTCTAAAGAACGTCTGTAGCTGTTGAATTCGTATTTTCTGTGGCCTACCCATTTCTCTTCCTTTCTAGAAGTTATTTTTAAATAGTAGAGGCTTTTTTGGTTTTAAGACTGTAATTTTTTTTATATTTTAATACACCACCATCTTGGCCTGTATTTCCTGAATTGCTGCTTCTTTCCACATGTGTTGAAATGCTTGGAATGCCACCCACAGCTCAGACAGATCACTCCTACAGATGTATCCAGGGTAACCATCATAGAGACACCCACGTAAAATTTGTTGCAATGACTGGAAATGCTGCATCAGTAACTCACTCACATGTTGTTATGTATTCCAAGAGGAATAGGGCACCCATAATCAGAGACTGCACAACTGGCACATTCAGAAATCACATGTAGGTTCTGCACTTTGGTACATCATAGAATCATTTAGGCTGGAACAGATCATGCTTATGTTGTTTGACCTCTTCAGCAATATTTATTTGATATTTCTGCAATATTTACAGAAGTTCCAATTTGTAGTTCATTACAGTTGCTGAATATTTGTTATGTTGGGCTTTATATTATTCGGCTAATTTATATTACATTAGGCTTCACTCAAAATCAGGGCTGTTTTTTGCTATGTAAAGGTATTAAATTGTCAAGATGAAGAAAAGGGAAAGTGTATGCCTGTACCTGTAGGTAATATAAATGAGTGAACAAAGGTAGGAAGATTAATAGAATGAAATCAAGACAGAGAATAGCTATGATTTGCCCAAATTCAGACACCAGAAGCCTGGAGTACAGTTGAGGATTTAACGCAGATGACCCAAGTCCCAGTCTAGTATCTTGGTGACAAGATCATCTTTCCACAAAATAATTATCTGTCTTTTTTTTTTTTTAACAGGCATTAGAGTATGCCTTCTGTAAAGGAAGATTTTACACAGATTTTTTATGAAATATCATCTTAATTATTTTTCATGTAGTGATCTATTATCTTTTCATTACTTTAGGGAGGAGATCTATTTGATGCTATCACTTCTTCTACAAAATATACAGAGCGAGATGGGAGTGCAATGGTCTACAATCTAGCCAGTGCACTCAAATACCTTCATGGTCTCAACATTGTGCACAGAGACATCAAGCCAGAAAATCTCCTGGTATGTCCCATTTATTTTCTGATATGTTGTCTTTGTTCTCATTAATGCAAATGCTTGTATTTAAATGTCAAGGAGCTGAGCAGACAACAATAGGAATACTAATTTAGAATAAGTATGTATGAAATAAATCTGCCATGAGATAGCAATCACCATAACCTAAGTGAGCTCTGCTCAAACCTGTCCTTAGACCTATCTTTATTTACATTTTGATTGGCTGCCATTTGGATAAGCAGGAATATTGTCTCACAAAACAATGAATTTTAAAGGTATGTCAGTGAATTATTTATTATAGTTTGCAAGTGGGAGAAAAGGTGGGCTGAGTGCCATATCTTTTAATGATAATATGGTTATCTCAAGCAATTTTTCTTTCACTGTCATAGTAGGAACATCTTTCTTATGATTTACCAATATACTAGCCATGAATTCTCTGTACATGCATTTATTTTGTCCTAGGGGGCTTTTGTTTTCAGCAGAGACATAAAATAACTAACTGTGTTGACGAGAACTACCATGAAGTCTGCTTTGGGAACTGCCTAGACTACAGTTCACAGAATGGGAACAGCATGCTATCTTGCTTATACACAGAGGTTATACTTACATGTTACATATTGGGTATTAGGTATTACATGTCGTGCACTGAACAGACAGGGCCATAATCTCCCCTGCTTGAGCCACTGTCATCAGGAATGCTAATGACTTCCATCAACACTTGGTAGGCATTTATTAAGGCCTTCTGTGGTGTTTGTCAATCCTGTGTAATGAGGTTGCATCTAGAGTAGGAGTCATGGCTTATTCCAGACTGGATTTTGATTACAGGGATAGGACTATAAGCTGAAAATATTTTCCAATTAATAGTCAAATCTTTCCCAACTAATTCCACTGGCAGTGTTTAGCAATTTAAATAAGCCCTCAAATAAAATAGATTGTTTATCAGAAGGAAGGGGGGGGGGGGGGGCTTTTCCTGGTTACAGCAATATGGCACTTAAAGAAAATGAAGGTGGAAGTCTCACTTATTATCAGTGCATCTTTAAACACCGACAGTCCAAAGAAATGTTAAGCTCTCAATAGTGTTTGAATCACTTAAAAATAGGCATAAATGTCATTTCTGCCTAGAAAGCCTAAAGAGATTACTCAACAGATGCAAATCTTATTCACTGTGATTGACAGTGGCAGAATGTTAAGATAACATACTGGTATTGAACGTAAATGCGAATAATTCCCATCAAATGCTACCTATAATTGCAAGTAGTTAGTTCTTTTGCACAGGGTCATCCAGCTGTCTGAATTACATTCTCTTTTTTAGTCATGTATTTAAAAATACAAACTCTAAGAGTAATAGCAGATACGAAGATGTTATATCAAGGAGAACAAGTATTTCCATTAATTATATGAATTACATAGGGGAATGGAGGAAGGTATTGCTGCCTTAGCAGTATTCATTTGTTTGAAGAAGCCAAATAAACTCAGCCATTCTGGAGGTTCTGAAGCCCTGCATTCTAGAAACTAGATCCCACTGAAATCACGTTAACATAAACATTTTACTTTAAGAACAAACCTGTGATTAATTAGGGATATTTCCTTTGCTGGTGGTCTGGTTTGATTTACTCTTGCTGTCACTGTCATATCACCCTTTTTTTTTCTGTGAAAATTTAGCTTCTTTCCTCAACAAAATGACTCAGAGCAACATGTGCTAGATTCTTTATGGGGCTTTTGGTAAAATACACTTGGGTCTGCAGAGAAACCTAAGCACTTCTCAGTCAGCTTTCTCACTCATGTACTGAACTTGCTTAGACTTAGGGAAGATATTTGCATATGAAGTATCCAGCATGCTCACTGACTAGATTTATGCTTAGTGAGAGATGTTAAACAAATCTGATTGTACTTGCCAATCCCATTGTAAAGTCTAGGTCCCAATCAAATAGAAGTATAGTATTATATTTTTCTTATTACATTTAAAATTCCTCAGCATTCTGGGGTTGGGTTTTCTTTCCCCCACCCTCTAGTTGCTTGAGGCTATATTATGGTCTGACCTACATAGCTGGCAGACAGCTCCATTGAACACCAACTTCAGCTGCACTGTGGCAATCAATAGTCATAACATTTTTCTCTTCTTTCCCTACAGTGCTGTGGAAGTTACCTCTTTTTCCTATCCTCTTGGTGTGATGATGATTATTTTCCAAACAAGTTGAAGGATTTAAAAGATGCAGATGTTCTTTTCCTCATTCTATTTTTATTTTGCTGATTCTAGGTATGTGAATATTCAGATGGAACCAAGTCTTTGAAGCTAGGAGATTTTGGACTGGCAACTGTGGTTGAAGGACCTTTATATACTGTCTGTGGGACGCCCACATATGTGGCTCCAGAAATCATTGCAGAGACAGGGTGAGGATGACTAAGACAAAGACACAGGTCTTGTAACCAATTATCTTTCACAGGTAGCTCAGGTTGTAAGAACAAGGGGTGGTCCTCCATCTTTTTGTAAACAAACCATCTACAAGAAAACTGTCACCATTCAGCTTCCTCCCTCACCCTGATCCCAGAATTCATCTTTGCCTCCTTATTATCTCCCTAGGACCAGCACTGGTGCAGTGGGGTTTATTGGTTTGTGTTCCTTGCCTCACCTCACTGTTCAGAGCCTGTTGTACCGGCTGTAGCAGCTGCCTGGGAAAAACACAGACAAGCAAACACACTGTTCATGTTAGAAACAGAATAATTTATATTGGAAGAGACTACAGAGGTCACCTATTCTAAACCTATTCTCAGAGCAGATCTAATTAGATCATCTTGATCCAAGTGACCTCATTTGGGTGACGCATGCTACTTGCTAACTTGGTTTAATTAAATGACCCCATTTTTCTGTATTTAACAGGTGGTTGCATATATACAAAATAATTTTGTAAAATTGTAGAATTTCACAAGTCATCTTTCCTTTTAGACCTATTAGACCTCCATTCCATGCTAGCTGACTCTTGCCATGGCTGTGAACTTATGAATTTGGCCTTCCTAATGGAGGGAGGTTTGTTGTATTGTTTGAAGCATTGTTCAGTGCATTTGTCATATCGAGAAATATTTTACAGCTGCAGAGAGCTCAAACGTCAAAGGGTTACTTCATCTGCATGTTTTAGATTTTGACGATGTGAATCTACTTGATAAAAAAGAATAGGAAAAAAAGACCTCGTTTTGACCTCTAGTGTTTTGATTTCTGTGCTTTAAAAGAAAGGTGCAGTTCTTTTTCCCTGTGTTACTTGCTCAAGAGACTGGAGAATTGGTATCTTTCTTGTTGCTTAGCAACACATGATAACCTTAGCAATAGTAACTCCAATATGGGGACTGAGAAGGCATATCCTTGTCTTTTATCATTAGTCATTTTGGATTGGAAAACCTTGATACTGAATTGAATCTGAGTATATTCAGAAGACCCTGGAGTGCCTTGAGGCTTAAGGAAAAAAAAAAAAAAAAAAAAAAAAAAAAACAACCAACCAAGCAACAAAAGAGCAATGAAAGATGATGTTATCATGGTTTCCTAAAGACGGGGAAGGATGATAAGTAAAATGATGCTTAGATACAAAATCCACATCATCAGCAAGTAACTTAGAACAGATTTTCAATATATATTCTTGTAAATGTAATCAACTGATTGGAATGACTTTTTTTTAATCCAGCACAAGTAACAGTCTTGTTTTCTCAGATATGGCTTAAAGGTGGATATTTGGGCTGCAGGTGTGATCACATACATACTGTTATGTGGATTTCCACCTTTTCGCAGGTGAGTGTCCCTGTATGTCAAAGGGAAAGGTAGTAAAGAACCAAGTTTTTTCTGAGCAAGTCTTACATATCTCCCTGAAGAAGGCATCTGGGTGGGCGTGGAAAAAAAAAAGGGTTAGATTGACACATTTTCTTTACCTTCTTGTCCTTTTAAAAAATTCTTTTCACCTGTCCCTCTTCTCAGGTTTTGGGATCAATTTTGCTTACTTATTTTTCTAAGGCAGCAACTGGTTTACTGCTGTGTGCAGGGGTAGGGTGGTATGAGGGCAGCTTCTTTTCCTTTTGTCTGCTGTGTGTATCCCAGCTCAATGCACGTGTATGCTTTGCCCTCTAGTGTTTCTGGTTGGACACATCAGCTTACTGGTTCATGGTGATGAGGGGTGGTTAATGGTAAACTGAGGTGAGGGGAAGAATTTGCTTATGTTGCATTTTTAACGTTGCTAATCTTTTTGATAAATGTCATGAGCGATGGAGTTTGCAGACACAATTCTTGCTACTCAGTGTCACAATATGTACAAGTTCTAACAATCAAATGGATATGCTTTGTGCCTCAGCAATTTTTTTTTCCCAGGGAATGAGAAGGAATTGACACATTTTAATGCGAAATTCTCCTCCTAACCTATAAGTTGTTTGTGCACAATCTGTTTGTCCGTTTTTACAGCAAAATACTTAGTTTTTAACTAAAAATCACCAGACTGAATATTTTCCAAAGAATGCAACATAAATATTTGTCAATAGAAAAATTACCATTTAGTTTAGGTATTTGTTTTTTGCATGTGGTTAGTTCATGTTTAAAACTGAAAACATGTTTTGAAAGATATATCATGCAAACAAATGGCAATTGCTTTGAATAGAGTTTGGGGGCTGGGCACAGAGAATGTCCATACCATGCTATTAGAATCAGGTCTTAACCAAGGTTAATAAATATTTATTGCAAAACCAACCTAAGACATAAATTTTTCATTACAGAAATAGGTTGGGTGGATGTGCACAGTGGTTAGGGTCAACAAACAGAGGTTAAAAAACATAAAACCTGCTGCCATTGATCCCTGAATATTCATGATACCATGTTTTTGATACAAAAGTACTTATCCTTTCAATATCAGTAGCCTGCCAATCCTTAGTGAACTAAAGGTATCATGTGTTTTCCATATCTCCCCTTAGGATTTTGAAAACTGTCACGTTGTGATAGTTTAACAGAAGAGGCTCATTTCACTATGCTTCTTCCCCCTATCATATGCCTTTCGGGAGTGCATCCTTTAGAACTAGGCTGGCAAGTAACTTATTTTTTAATCACCTTTCCTGTTCCTTTATGTTAGCTATGCAGTCTCTATTCCAGTGGAAGTCCTTTCACCTCAATATATTATTTTTTCTGTTCTCATCACTCCTGACAGTGCAACTATGGCAAACACCTCAGAAGTGCTGCCACTATAGAAGCTTGCAAATTATGTGTTTATAGTAGTTGATATAATGTCATTTCTGTTCCATCTCCAAATCAAGTTAAAAATTCATATGACAAACCAACTTCTTTCTCGTGATCTTTTTCACTGCTGCTGTTCTACAGTGAAAACAACCTTCAGGAAGACCTCTTTGATCAGATACTTGTTGGGAAGCTGGATTTTCCTTCTCCCTACTGGGATAACATCACTGATTCAGCAAAGGTACTGATATGTTTTCCAACCTGAAATAGTGTTTCTGACAAGCCACTGAAAAGACTATGCTCTGTTGGAAAGGCAGAATAGAAGATTCAGGATAGACTCTTACGCACTTCTCTACCTGCTGTGCCTTTTTAGTTAGATAGCTTAACAGTGCTTGATGAAAGCTCAGGTTTTACAGGCCATCATGTTATTGTCTGAGTAAGCATAGCAGAATCCCAACTGCAGTCAGTGAATATCACATGCTATTCAGTTTACTTAATGATGAACTATTATAGCAGGTTCAGTACTTGAGCTGTAAAATGCCTCTGAATTTTTCCCTCCTATCACTCTTAAAAAAGGAAAAATTATTGCTATGTGAACTGAATGCAGTTGACATAATTTGTTCCTATTTCATTTGAGCCAGTTATTAGAACTTTTCAAGAGGTACAGCCAGCTTGATTTGCCATTGCTAATAGTTCTTGTGTTATTATTGCCATTTGTGTTTAAAATTACTCTGTCTGTAGGATAAATGTTCCAACTTTTAAGCCCCGTTTCTCAAGCTAATTCAGTAACATGGTCTGAATGATATCTGAGGACTCTCAACTAGCAAGTGGAGATTATTTGTTAACCAGCCAATGAGAAGTTGCATTTTTTCTCTCCATTTCCCAAAGGCTGTTTATCCATTTGCCAACATTTCCCAATCTCCAGTCATCTCACACTCTTCCAAACGTGTGTTCTGAACAAACAAGGCCCTCAATCATGGTACTAAAGGTGACCTTTCACTTCAGGCTTACACAGACTAAATAGTAACTTGGAGGGTTGGGAAACCTCTCAGGTATGTTATTTGCTTGAAGAAGCCATTTCCCAAAACTGAAGTGATGACCAATTTCCTTGAAATACTCGTGATAAGAATATGAAGACTGATGATTTGGAGGCTATAAAGGGTTTTTCAAGTGGTGATTTGACTCCAAGTACATGAAGTTGTTCATTCGGGAAGGGGACATATTTGTTTTAATAGCCTTGTAGAACCAGGAATTACACCAGTAAACTAGTTGTTAGTTGCATAAGAGGAAACATGAATGAATAAACAACTGAAGAAAGTTGGTTTGGGTTTTGGTTTGTTTTAAATTTTACTTTACTGACTGCTTTGTATCGATGACCTCTTAAGGTTTATCGTATCTGTAGACACCATTAATGGAAGGCCAATGGAAGTATTTGATAAAGCTAAAGACATCTGCTCTAGTGCCTCTAAAATATGATGAAAGCCACAGTACCAAATCTTTTGAGATTAACCATATAATTAGTAGAATTAAGAATTTTTATCTTTCTATCTATCTGCTTTTTCCTATACCAGGTGATCCTTAGCTGATGAAAAGAGTTAAATGTCTTTTATTCTTCTGGAGCAACACAGAAGAGAACATAGTTTTTAAATAATTTCAGCAGTTTCTTGAATTTCAGATGCAGTTTCTTGCCTCTCTGATTTGTACTCTTTATGTACTGTTACTATGTGCATGTACACTGCCCATAGAGGATCTCATCTGTCCCAGGTTTGTTTTCATTCCAGTCACCTGCATGAATATATAGAGAACAAACTGGAACATTATAGCTGATTTTTACCATTTCATCTGGTTTCAGAAGACTCACTGAAACACAAATACAATAAGGAAGTTGATATGAAATATGCTATCCAGCATACTCTTAAACCCAAAGGACAAATTTTTTGTTCCAGTAAAGTCACACTGGTATCACTGGTTCTGGTATCAGTGTAAGCTGGGTTTTTTTCCACCATGAAAAATTGCAAGAAAATTGCACTGAGAACAACTTGGTGCAACAGTATTTTCCATTGTAATATCCTTCCCCACTCTCCTCAAACTCTTCTTCTTTTTTTTCTTTTTTTTGTCTTGTTTTTTCTCTTTTTTTAATAAAGGAGTTAATTAGCCTGATGTTACATGTGAATGCTGAAGCCCGATATACAGCAGCACAGATCCTAAGCCATCCCTGGGTGTCAGTGAGTAAAATACATTATACTTGTCTCTATTTTGATATTGAATCTGTAAATCTAACCATTGAAGTGTAGTTTTCAGAAGCAGTAATACCTTTCTACTACGCCCATTTCTGTTTATTGAACCACTAGTCCCATTTCCACATCAAAGAGAACAGCAAGAGTCTGAAGTTAGCTTCAGCTCTAACAAACAGCACCATTGGCTCTGAAAGAATAGTGAGGGTAGCACTTGCTGACTGTGATTAGAAGGTGCTGGGGGTTGCTATAACCCTGCTTAAACATAACACAACAGGCAGATGTGTGATCTTTTTTGTTATTTCACGTTCAACCTAGAAAACAGTCATCTCAGAAATGTGTACATGGAAGCCCTGTTGTGCATGTTGGCATCTATCTTGATGCAATGGAACTTGAATACCACCTCCCGTTTCTTGAAGCACTTCAAGCTTCATAAGAGAAATAAAATAAGCAAATAAAATACCTAATTTAACACGGGCACTAAGCTGATGGCTGCCAGGTCCCTCATCTTTTTGGGCAGCAGCAATGGGGAACATCAATGCTTATTGATTTAAAATCAGTTCATTATTAATAAATACCAGTTTACATGTGCATAGTCAATGTATATTTCCAGACACATTTTAAAAGAATGACTGAATATGATCTGTGGAGTTCCCTCAAACAAGAGAAGACAACTACAAGTGTGTCTGTACGTAACAGCTGCTTTCAAATGTGTTTATGGTACTGTATAATGTTTGCACACTTAGGACATGACGGACCATTTGAAATTCTGATTTAAAAGAAAGCCAAATGACAAATACGCTTTTTATTTTTAACATTATTTCAAGCATGTTGTTTTTAACATGCTTGTCTCCAACTTGCAGCTTATGATTGTGTGACAAACCAATGGACTGAAGACATACAGAATCACATAGCCTTTTAAGAAATAGAAGTTCATACATGAAACTCTGGTTGCTATGCTCCTTTCCTCTGTAATTCCTCTTAGCCCATTTGAACTATATCTCATGTAGCAGAGTGCATTCGCTTTTAGGCTGCCTGTCTGAATGCTTACTCTGCATTGAAAAGTAAGAAGTACCCGAAGACAATAGAAAACTTCTCTTTTACTCAGTTACATTCAAACATGTGTTTGTTTTGCTCCTAACTTGAATATTGTGTTTATTCTTATACAGGATGATGCTTCCCAGGAGAATAATATGCAAGCTGAAGTAACAGGTAAACTGAAGCAGCACTTTAATAACACCCTACCCAAGCAAAATAACACATCTGCTGGGGTTTCTGTCATCATGGTAAGAGAAATTAACATTTTTATACATTGATATTATACTGTGCATATTTTCCTAACAGTGCTCTATGAGCGTGTTTGGTGCAAGAATAGCAAAACCAAAGCTAGAACAGTCTCTAATTCTAGTCTTTATTTCTGTATAGTGTGGATTGTCTCATCACTTGAGAGCAACCGAGTCTATCACAGTGTGCTAGCTAAGCTATAAAAACAAGCTTTCAAAAAGAAACATGGAAACACTAAGTAGTTGTATGTTGAAATGAAGCTTATTAATGATTTGAAATCTTTTGTTATAAAAAGTGTAATTTTTTATCATACTGACAACCTAGGCAGTTAAGTAGGCTCTTCCTCTATGCCTGTCCAAGTATTGCTTGATCTTGAGCATACTGTTGTTCAACACTACACTTGCCAGGAAACCAGACTCCATTTCAGAAACTTTCTTTGTAGTACTGAATGTTCACTACATTAATTTTGTCCCAATCTAACCCCTGCTATGTTTTTTCTGTTCCCTGATGGGGAACTTTCTTCAAAGCGTACAAAGGAGCCCTGATGACCTATAGTTGAACTTACATTAACAGTAATTCCAGAAGGCCCGTGTGTGAATCATGGTAGAAGAAATGGAGTTTATTGTTATCGGTACTCAGATGACCAGTCACATTTGCAGAGAATATGTAACTGCCATAGAGATTGAACGGCCATCTTACTGTAGTCCATTCTTATCTAATGCAAGGATGGACACTGCACACAAATAGTATCTTCAGTTACTAAAAGAAAAATAAAACAATCTATGATAGTAACGTAACAGTGATTTCCACCCCCAACCCTCCCCATTAGTATTAACTACTCTCAAAGTCCAGCCCACTTATGTTGGCAAAGAATTGTCTTAATCGTCTGAAATTAGGTAAATTTAAATAATGTTTCTGCATACATAGATACTTTTGCAAACATATTTATGAGAATTAAGTAGGCCAAAGACTTAAATGTAGGAAAAGTCACAAAAATAAAAAATGAAAGAAGTCAGACAATGGATTTCAGGTTCATGCTGTTGTCTACATTTCATTTGACAGTTTGACTTGACAGTTTGAGAGGGACTTCAGAGCTTCATTCTTTATACTGTTGAGACTATGGATAAGCCTGAAGCTGAAAACTGGTATAAAATGCACTATATGCAATAAGAGCAATTTTAATTCTAACTCTCAGCCCCTCTCCAACTTGCATGCCACTTAAGCCTGTCTCAGATCTCTGACACAGCGTAGCTTCTGGCTTCTTATTGGTGTGGGTTTTTTCTGATTCTGTTAGCTACTGACATTCCTTCAGCCAGAAAAGTACACCTCATTAAAACTTTTCATTTTTCCCTTTTCCTGCCTTATTTCCTTCTAACAGGTATGGGAGGATGTAAATGCATAATTATTTATTTCTGAATGTAGCTCCCAGTTATTGCTGAGGGGAAAAGTAACTTCTTGTTCAAAACACTGTAACCTGATGAGGGTTAAGCCCCCCAGTTTGTTATTCTTGCCCTAGATGCTCTTTATCTAGAGCACTGAAATTTAATTATCTTCATGTTAAGTTCTTCTACACTTGTACTAGCACTCATTGCTTAAAAACATTCAGATTCAGACAAGCACAGTATTGTAATTCTCATGTATTGCAGTGCATTGCTTTATCAGTCCACCCGCATATTTAATGGAATCCCTTTTAGCATCACTTCATTCAAATATTGTCATCTGGCCAATGCAGATAATACCATCATGTGGCAGATAAGTAAAACTGCACATACCTACTTCAGTGTTCTTGCACAGGAGACTCTTCCTGCCCTTAAAAGCATGTTGCTGCTAATTCATTACTGATTTTTTTTGTCAATATCAAAATGTTATGTAAATCTAAATATGTTGCAATTGTGTTAGTTCTGCTTAAAGTAAGTCTAGTTTCTGTCCCTTGCTTCCTTCCTTTTTCCTCCTTTCCCAATGCCTGCATTGCTTTCCTCTGAGTAGGTCCAAGGCAATGGTACGTACTAACTGCAATGCTTTGTTCTGCTGCACAAAAAATACATCTTCTCCATTTTTAAAAAGAAGAAAGGAGAAATAACTCGGGCAGTCTGAAGTGGAAAGAGCTTTACAGTCACACCAAAAAAAAAAAAAAATAAAAAAAAAAAAGGAAAATCTTTTAAACACAAAAAAGGTTTCTGTATTAAGTGATGCATGTTTGAAATATTCTAAGCAAACTTTTTACTTCCTCAGACATACTTTGGTCTATTCCCCTGGGAGTAATTTTGTGCATGTGTGTATCTTACAATATCCCAAAGCAATTAGAAAAAGATGGGAATCCTATGAAGACAGCTCCAAAGAACCCAAAGCCACTGAAATAAGCACTGTTCCCACTTAAAATAAAACTTGTAATTGTCACGTCAGCCTTTATGGTATTACAGTGCTGGTCAAAAGGTAATCAGTCCTAATTTATTTTAAAACATTCTTACTTAGCAACAGTAAAATTAAGCTTCCTCTTTGATTTTTAAAGAAAAATAAAAATCCTACATTGCATTACATAGGTATGTATTGCTATGTGCAAGGTGTGACAACTGTCAGAGGTTGCTGGGGGGACAGCACAGGAGAAAATCGCCCTCAGCATGAACTCAAAGCATTTTCTTTCCCTTTTATTAAGTAACTGACCTGCCACTGAAATAGCAGAAACCTGTTTATTCACAACTCTTTTTCCAGCAAGCAAAAGAGGAAATGCAGTCCTGCTGGCACAGCAGCTACTTTGATAGTGATAAAGCTACTGCACATCATAGCTAATCTCAAAAGCCTAGATACAGTTAGGCTAGTCATTTTCTCATGTGCTCCATTTGTTAGTAGAAGCTGTAACTCAATTAAAAAAAAAAAAAAAAAAAAAAAAAACAACCAAACCCACAAAAAACAAACAAACAAACAAACAAAAACAACCAAAAATCCCAACCAAAACATCGTACAATCAAAATACTTCACCTTTAACCTTTTCTTTTGGGAACTTTTATACTCAGTACTTTGGTCTGAAAAAGACTGGCACAAAGGCCTGGCGGGGGAAGAGAGGGTATCATGAAGCTGCTTGCTGCCTTCCCTGCCCCAGCACACAGCCACATTACACAAAATAGAATAGTTTCAGCAGGAGACTCTGAGTGAGACTGATTCCAGAACAACCCATAATCTATATACCTGCAAATTCTAAAAGTCCTCCGTGTGAGAAATCAGAGAAACTAGTCCAGCTCTAGAGAAATTTGAGTTGAGATACCCCATAATAAAGTAAATTTTCACTACCAAGCCATATAATCAGTTTGGAAAAAAAAGAGGCTAAGTACCTTATTTTCTGCTATCATTGATGACTTTAATCTAAAAATAAATACATGCTAAATTTAACTTGTATCAGAAAATGATTTCAGCATCTAAAACTACAAGATTTAGAGAACAGCGTAGTAGACAAACTCCACTAAGAATACATAAAAATTTTTACATTAGTAAAACAAGTCTTCCTGAGCAATCAATAATAAAAAAAAAAAAAAAAGCTACAGAAAAGGCAGAGCACCTGACTTGACTTTAAAATTAGCACATCCCAGGTCAGACTACAAAATTTCACGTAACAGTGTTATACAATGCTTACACATACATATGCAGAGGGTGCCACAAAGGTGAAACATGTATTTGTGCTCTGCTCCGCAGTTCAGGCGTCACACATCTGTGGATTACTGTAGAAAGCCCAGGATGTACATGACGAGTAAATGCACCTTGCACCATTCTGCATAGCTGAATAACTACAAAGAACTTACTTAATCAGCATTAACTTAAATCTGTATTACCACTGGTACTTGAAGATCTTCCACAAAGTAAATAGTTAAGCCAAGAAATAGATGGATTTATACAGATCAGTATCAGCCTTCTAGCTGTGAGACAAGACTAATTACGCTGTCCCTCAGTCTCAGAAAGCAACTCTGACACATATTTTTGATACAGGAACTACTGGGTTTCCCTCTAGGTCACTTTAGACATTCCACTAGCAATTAAACATTACACTGTGGTTTAACACAGCTGGCGGTATCCTTCAGAGGGTATGAAAGTTGTCGGCTTCAGCAAACACACCACATACTCCAGATAATCCACCTATAGAGTTCTCAGTTTTCATTCTAACTTGCTACTCTCTTCAGTAAACTTATTTTTTAGTATTCAGAAATTATGCATTTTTGCCACCTTGTCAGCCTCATGAGAGGTCATTTGCCTACTCTCAACAATAAAGAAGAGCATCTATTTTTCTGCTTAAGACAGAAAAAATCATTAGGTTTTCACCTGTCACCTTCACAAAAGACACACTTCTGTACCATGTGGGTTGTTACAGAAAAAGTATTATTAAGTTTTCACTAAGCATTATGTGATTCCCTGTATCTGTAAAAACACAAGTACGTAAGTTTTGCTAGAAGCTAGTATGAAGAGTTCCTGCCATATCATAACCACTCATGTAATTTTTTTTCCACATCAGACTTGCAAGACAAAATTTTAAACTCGCACCATCACGGTAAACATATGCCTGGAAGATAAGTTTTCCTTACATTTTCCAAAGTCAGCACCACAAAATGCTGCAATTATATATAAGACTTCTAATGTTATTTCTCCTTTTTTTTTCTGGCTCTAATGCATGCACTTAATGTGTTGTAGATTGTTTTAATCCTTATGTTAAGACAGGCCTCTGATTTAGCTGCTCTTTTCTTATTTTGCCTTGCATTTTTTTCCTTTGTTTTTAGAACACAGCTCTAGATAAAGAGAGTCAGATTTTCTGCAGCAAGCACTGTCAGGACTCTGGTAGAGCTGGAATGGAGAAAATTTCTACAATTACTGCTGCAGCCAGTGATCCTCGTGTGGCTGGGTCCAAGACCCTCTTCCCTGCTGCTTCTGAGCCGCTCCGATCCCCCACGCTCCCCGCCTCAGTGTCTCCCGAGTTTGCTGGGGATCGGCCTGGTGCGTAGGACTGACGAAACCAAACCCTACTGAAGCTCCCTGCACTCTCGCCACAATTTTTCTTCATTTCACACGACGGTTTGTTTTCAGTTTGCGTGCACCCTCTCATGGCCAGCCCAAGGCAGGCTCTGGCACGGGAGGCTGATCTTCTCATAGCGGGTGAGTGAACGTGCGTTCTGAGTGCTCTTTGCCCTTGTCTTGAGAGCAGCAGTAGGGGAAAGAATCTGGCAACGTTAGATGTTTTTTAAGTTACCTGTGTTAGTTTACTTAACTGCATTTCACACAGCCTTGGGTTCCAATAGAATAACTTATGGTGTAGCTAACCGTATTTTTATATGAGCGGTGAGACGATGAACAGTTACCTGGCCTCACCTTTACAAGCAGGCCCTGTTCTGTTCTTCTGATGAGGATTCTCAGAAAAGTGGGAGAGGAAGACAAGGGAAGAAAACTTACATTCACCTTCTGTTCTGATGCCTCTATTTTTAGCCAAGTTTCTACTGAACTTGAAGAGGCAAATTTTCACAAAATATTTTTTAGTGGACTAACTGAAATACCATGAGACAAACATTGGAAATAGAGGGAAGGATGGTTGTTTTTGCATCAAGTTTGTTATCTGACTTGCAGGCTGCCGAGTAGTGTTTAGGTAATATGAATTTAAATAAAAGTGACTTGGGATGTAAACACGAGCACTGGACATTTATTTATAACAAAGACTGGAGTCAAGGAAGCCTTTTTGTTCTAGTCATTTTCTATCCTAGCCACAAGTGTCTCATCCACACCTTTCTCCAGGGTCACACTACCTATTAGATAAAATTACTTTGGACCTGTGAATGGAAAGCCTGCTGCATGTTATCTAAGCTAGGATGAACGGAGCAGTTCCTAGTTCTAGGGTGAGCTGATAGAGGAGCTACTACAAATAGCTGCCATCAATAGCTATCAGAGGTTTGTCAGTGCTATCTCCCTATTCACCTGGTGCAAGCACTGGAAACAAGGATTGGGGAGCAGCTATCCTTAATCTGCAGTCACAAGATAGATGAGGTTTTATCTTTACCATAATGCTTAGTTCAATAGAGTACGTATTCAGCTTATTTTTTTCCTTTGCTCGTTCCTATGAATTGGTAATAGTTCATTTTCTTTCTTAGCTATACTTTCTACTAGAATTGTAAAAGAAGAACCTGCAATAAACTTTCTTCATTAAAAAAAAAAAAAAAGAAGTCATTCATTTCTTTGAGAATTCAGTTATTTTGTCAGTGAAAATGTCTTCTTATTCCCTCTGAAGAGATTGAACCGTTAGGTACCTACCAAAAATATTTCGTAAAATGAATCTGAGGGATTCCCATAACCTTTTAAAGTTCATTGACTTGTATAGAAGACATAGGTAATACATGACTGAACATGAGTGTTTTACCTTTTGAAGAGCCAAATCAAGATCAAAAAGTGATAACTGGTAACTTAAGGTCATGGTACAGCTGAAAGATGTACAGCATCTTAGCAAAAAGGGGTAATAAAGGTACGAAAACATATTACATGTCCTCAACTATGATGAAAATGTCGGGCTACAACTAGTCATTGTGAATTAACTTTGTTTTGGGTTCACTGGAGTAAGTTCAAGATATTTGGAGAGTATGGGAACGGCCTTTATATAAAATTATGTACATTTATATTTTGGTACAGTGCAAAAAATATGACGGTAACACTCTAACCTTACTCAGAACAGAAACTAGTGAAATTCCATTAGCTAGCTGTGGATCCAGTGGGTAAATTCTGTAACAAGTCTTAGACTAACCTAAAGACAGGATGCGTAATTTTGGATGGAGCAGGCTAACCAGCCACCTACATCAAGGAAGGGGAGCCCCTGACAAAGAAGACAGTGACAGACTACAGAACTGGGAGGTTAGTAAAGAGGGAGCAGCAACAAAGTGATGGCCACAGGGTTAAGTTCTGTTTTTTCTAAAATGACGGATATTCACCTGTACAAGGCCTAGATATTTATTTTACAAAGAAAAAAACTGTCATGGATTAGCAGAGATATCTAACAAGTTGTGTTCCACAAAAGCTCGTGTATGTCTAAGAGAAAGGGTGATCAGTTGCCTGGTCAAAAGTTGCCAGTTCTAAACTATTACTGTCTCATGGAAGAGAGTAAAGATATGCATACCCTGAATTCATGTCCCTATGTTCACGACTGAACAACATCTAAACATTCTTAGACAAGTATTTTGATTTACAGAGCAGAGACAGTTGATAGACTATGCCAGAACACCTATTTAAAAATAGTAACGACAGCTGGAAAAGATGATCATGTGGCCAACATAATCAGATTAAACATGGGATAGCTGGACAAGTTCTTAACTCCATGTATGACCTTAGGAAAGTTCTATCACTACTCCATGCCTTAATTTAGTTCCACAAATGTTAAATCTGTGGGTGCATAGGTGATGTGTTTGTGCCACTCAGGGTATCAGTTTAACATAAAGATGTGCTGATTAACAGTAAAACAGTTAATGAAAGCTCATAAGTATTACATTTGGTTTTTCTATCTACTGCACTTTCATTTAATTGTTCTTTCTCTGTAGAACCATCAGTTGCTGGAAGAAAGCAAAAATAGGAAAGAAATTCTAAACCAGAATAAATCTGCTATAAAGGGAAAGAAACAACTACAGAAACTGTAAACTCAAGTTACATGTTTGTCAAGGAGGACTGTCACCTTTTTTGTTTCATAAAAGTAGCTGAAATTCATGTATCATTTTGATAGATATTAAATGCCAGTTTTTTCAAACACTCAGCAATGACAGCACAACCGCTACCAGGCCTACTATTTTAAAAAATGTATTGTTAAAAAAATAGTCTTTTTAAAAACTCCCCGTCTTTTTAGTCCCCTTGAATGTGAATCATTGTTCATATAGCCCAATGGAGCAAATTCCTACAGTTCTAGATTTGAAATCCCAGAGTTGAATCTTCCCCTGTTGTAAATCAGCATAACAGTAAGTTCACTGAGATGCCCATCAAAATGTACCCTTACAGACAATTACCCCCATTCTTGAACTTATAAAGTTAATTAAAATAATTGTCAAAATAAATTAAGGTAGACAGTGGATTTTTATGGTGATGTTATTTTCATCAAGTATTGGCTCATGCTTACAGCTAGTTGTTAAGAATATTTACATAGATAAGTAAATCTTACTTTGGACTACTTTAATAAGAGAAAATCTCTTGTTTTTAGATGCAGACAGAGTTCCCCCCATCTAAACTGAATACTTGAGGAAGAGAAGCTAGGAGGAAGTAATGACTAAAACTAACAGACTGCAGGGTAATTTTTCCTAAATTAAATGATTTTTTTTTTTATTTATTATAAATTAATTATATACGTAGGATACCAGAAAGTATTTTTAACCTGCATCTTAGTCCAATTTTTCTCTTTCCTCCAGTGCTATTTTTAAACAAACCAAACCAATTTTCTACTATAGTAGAGCACACCCGGTGCACTGGACTTAGGAACAAGAGGCATGCAGCTTTTCATTTGAGCTGGGGAAGTTCAGTCTTTTAATTCAAGGAAGCAGGTCTAAGGCTTCATTAACGTCTCTCAAAAACAGAGGTTCTACGATTTAGGTATGTGATGAGAAGACTACAGCAACAATGGTAACTTCTGCAAGTAACATCCAATACCACTTTTCTCACTCTATGCTTAGAGATCACACTGAGTGTCTGTGACAGAAATTGCCAAAATACATGATACAAGTGATGAGGCATCCTTCAGCGGGTGCCACAGACTTTGTGTTACCTCTCGGAGGGCCCTGCTGATACAGGAGACACTCCAGCACTCTGGCGTACATCAAGGAGACCAGAACCAAGATCCTGGATATGAATTCCAACAGGGATCACAGCTTTGGCCTTTATGAGAAGACTCATTTTCCTAATCTACTTGACATGAAAAATGTTAGCGAGGAAGCAGTAACTTGTACTGCTCACCGCCACTGGCCTGTACACTCACCAAAAAGGGGTTCAGATTTCCAAGTTGCACCAGAGGAGGTTTAGAACAGATATTAGAAAAAATTTCTTCACTGAAAGGTTTATCAAGCATTGGAACAGGCTCCCCAGGGAAGTGGTTGAGTCACCATCCCTGGAGGGATTTAAAAGCCGCGTGGATGTGGCGCTTGGGGACATGGGGTAGTGGTGAACTTGGCAGTGGTACGTTTACTGTTGGACTCAATGATCTTAAGGGTCTTCTCCAACCTAAATGATTCAAGGATTCTGTGATTCTACACCCTCCCTTTCCTAGTAAGTAACAACCTCCATCAGCAGAACATCCACAGATTACTCTGTATTATCTCGGTATCAGATTAGCTCTTTCACACATTTATTCTGCTAAATGCTAAACCAGCAGAGCAGGAATCTTAGGCAGAAACAAAGTGCTGCAGCTAGGTGGAGGACTACCAAAAGTACTTCAGGACTAGAAACAGTAATAAATACATACGCTTTGCATGAGGCACACTTTCCAGGTGTAAGGCTGTTTGATAACACACAGCACAACACAGCCAAGAACTGAAGAAACATTCTCAAAAGTATTTACCTTTGCTTGCAGTAACACCACGTGAACTTCCTTCAGAGAAACCACCACTCTGATCACACCATCAGCTCTTGTCAGATCCTACAACATTTATATCAGAAATTTTCACAAAATAGAAGGGATTTCAAGCTACTTGCACTAAGTATTTCCCCACAAACCAAACTTGCAGCACTGCTGCTGACCAGCCTTGCTCTCAGCAGCAGCAAACACTGCTTTCCAGAGCGCCGGCCATAAACTACAGCTAACACTATGCCCATTTGAACTTGCCAGAACAGAAGCCTGGACTGTCGCATAAAATAAATGCAGTTCATAAATGGTCTCTCTGAATTTTGAGGAAATAGAGGGCTTGGCTCCCTCTTTTCAGAATATTCTGCAAATAACAGCAGCTGAGGCCTAGCTGCAGGTTAACACCTGAGCACCTGTTGATTAAACAGGTTTCAGGGAATCCATTTGACACCCCTGCTGCCCTGAACAGACTAACAAATACCTGAATAGGTGGGAATTTAACCCTTTTTTGCCACCTCATCACAAACAGCATGACTTGGACGAGATCCCAAGTGCAAGCCTGGCCCCCCCGGGCGGTGCCCAAGGGTCTGTCCTACTCACCAAAGCCACCAGCAAAGTGGTCCAGAATGGCGGCGTCTTCATAGGCTTGCTACCAGAGCAGGGGCTGAAGATGTTCTTCTCCACAGAAGGGCTGCAGCACTTGTAATACGTAGAACACGGCGCTGCACCGCTGCTGCTGCTCCCCCGAGGAGTTAGGGGTGCCCACCAGCATGCTCTGGCTGGATGCAACTCGGGGTGGCCTCCACAGGTACAGTCGTGCTTTCAGTTTGGGCGGGCATCTCATGATCTTTCTAAAACAAGCAACCTACCAAATCAATTCCCTGTGAAATACTTTAAGATCAGAAACTATTCCTTCTATCAATAATAAAGAGTTTCCTAAGTCAACAGGAGACCATAAAGAGAAGACTTTCAGGAATTCCACTTGGCAAAATACTCCTTTCTTTGTTTGGGGTTTTTTCCCTTCACCTAGCCTAGGAAACCCACCCCTGGCTTGAGACGAATACAAATTGCGCTTCAAGAGCATACCAATTTCCCCTCAAAATCTTCTGATACAAGGCTATGAATGTTGCTGAACTTAAGGAAGTGTAAAGTACAAGTTTTGCGTAACAAATGTTACTTACCTCAGACTTGACAAATCTAGCCTTTCGCTTAATCAGATCATCCTTCTGCTACACAGAACATAAAAATGTAATTCTACTGATACCACCATAATCACATCAGTATAAATACGTAGAAAGCACAGAAAACATAGTCACCACTGCATGAACACCAAGAGTACTTTAAATGCATTAGCACCTATTTCCTCAATTGCGAATACATGTTCAACCACAAGAACCCAGTACTCCACTGAAGCTCTCAATTACAAATGTAATTTTATTTAATTTCTTCACTCAAACTGATTTTTCTCATTCCAAATCTTTACTGAAAGAGATAGTAGTTAAATGCTTAGAAAAACCAGGAACTGCTCTAGTAGGCAGCTAGAGAAATGTATGTATCAATACAGATATGGAATGTAAATTTCAACTCATATAGATCACAACATACAAAGAAGATTTTTATGCAATACAGACTTACAAAACA